ATACCCCCATCTTATCCACAGTTTAATTTAAGACTGTAATACCCCCATCTTATCCATAGTTTAATTTAAGACTGTAATACCCCCATCTTATCCATAGTTTAATTTAAGACTGTAATACCCCCATCTTATCCATAGTTTAATTTAAGACTGTAATACCCCCATCTTATCCATAGTTTAATTTAAGACTGTAATACCCCCATCTTATCCATAGTTTAATTTAAGACTGTAATACCCCCATCTTATCCATAGTTTAATTTAAGACTGTAATACACCCATCTTATCCATAGTTTAATTTAAGACTGTAATACACCCATCTTATCCACAGTTTAATTTAAGACTGTAATACCCCCATCTTATCCACAGTTTAATTTAAGACTGTAATACCCCCATCTTATTCATAGTTTAATCTAAGACTGTAATACACCCATCTTATCCATAGTTTAATTTAAGACTGTAATACACCCATCTTATCCATAGTTTAATTTAAGACTGTAATACACCCATCTTATCCACAGTTTAATTTAAGACTGTAATACCCCCATCTTATCCACAGTTTAATTTAAGACTGTAATACCCCCATCTTATCCATAGTTTAATTTAAGACTGTAATACCCCCATCTTATCCATAGTTTAATTTAAGACTGTAATACCCCCATCTTATCCATAGTTTAATTTAAGACTGTAATACACCCATCTTATCCACAGTTTAATTTAAGGCTGTAATACACCCATCTTATCCACAGTTTAATTTAAGACTGTAATACCCCCATCTTATCCATAGTTTAATTTAAGACTGTAATACCCCCATCTTATCCATAGTTTAATTTAAGACTGTAATACACCCATCTTATCCATAGTTTAATTTAAGACTGTAATACACCCATCTTATCCATAGTTTAATTTAAGACTGTAATACCCCCATCTTATCCACAGTTTAATTTAAAACGGTAATACCCCCATCTTATCCACAGTTTAATTTAAGACTGTAATACTCCCATCTTATCCATAGTTTAATTTAAGACTGTAATACCCCCATCTTATCCATAGTTTAATTTAAGACTGTAATACCCCCATCTTATCCATAGTTTAATTTAAGACTGTAATACCCCCATCTTATCCATAGTTTAATTTAAGACTGTAATACCCCCATCTTATCCATAGTTTAATTTAAGACTGTAATACCCCCATCTTATCCATAGTTTAATTTAAGACTGTAATACACCCATCTTATCCATAGTTTAATTTAAGACTGTAATACACCCATCTTATCCATAGTTTAATTTAAGACTGTAATACCCCCATCTTATCCACAGTTTAATTTAAGACTGTAATACCCCCATCTTATCCACAGTTTAATTTAAGACTGTAATACCCCCATCTTATCCATAGTTTAATTTAAGACTGTAATACCCCCATCTTATCCATAGTTTAATTTAAGACTGTAATACCCCCATCTTATCCATAGTTTAATTTAAGACTGTAATACCCCCATCTTATCCATAGTTTAATTTAAGACTGTACTACCCCCATCTTATCCATAGTTTAATTTAAGACTGTAATACACCCATCTTATCCATAGTTTAATTTAAGACTGTAATACACCCATCTTATCCACAGTTTAATTTAAGACTGTAATACCCCCATCTTATCCACAGTTTAATTTAAGACTGTAATACCCCCATCTTATTCATAGTTTAATTTAAGACTGTAATACACCCATCTTATCCATAGTTTAATTTAAGACTGTAATACACCCATCTTATCCATAGTTTAATTTAAGACTGTAATACACCCATCTTATCCACAGTTTAATTTAAGACTGTAATACCCCCATCTTATCCACAGTTTAATTTAAGACTGTAATACCTACATCTTATCCATAGTTTAATTTAAGACTGTAATACCCCCATCTTATCCATAGTTTAATTTAAGACTGTAATACCCCCATCTTATCCATAGTTTAATTTAAGACTGTAATACACCCATCTTATCCACAGTTTAATTTAAGACTGTAATACCCCCATCTTATCCACAGTTTAATTTAAAACGGTAATACCCCCATCTTATCCACAGTTTAATTTAAGACTGTAATACCCCCATCTTATCCATAGTTTAATTTAAGACTGTAATACCCCCATCTTATCCATAGTTTAATTTAAGACTGTAATACCCCCATCTTATCCATAGTTTAATTTAAGACTGTAATACCCCCATCTTATCCATAGTTTAATTTAAGACTGTAATACCCCCATCTTATCCATAGTTTAATTTAAGACTGTAATACCCCCATCTTATCCATAGTTTAATTTAAGACTGTAATACACCCATCTTATCCATAGTTTAATTTAAGACTGTAATACACCCATCTTATCCATAGTTTAATTTAAGACTGTAATACCCCCATCTTATCCACAGTTTAATTTAAGACTGTAATACCCCCATCTTATCCACAGTTTAATTTAAGACTGTAATACCCCCATCTTATCCATAGTTTAATTTAAGACTGTAATACCCCCATCTTATCCACAGTTTAATTTAAGACTGTAATACCCCCATCTTATCCACAGTTTAATTTAAGACTGTAATACCCCCATCTTATCCATAGTTTAATTTAAGACTGTAATACCCCCATCTTATCCACAGTTTAATTTAAGACTGTAATACCCCCATCTTATCCACAGTTTAATTTAAGACTGTAATACCCCCATCTTATCCATAGTTTAATTTAAGACTGTAATACCCCCATCTTATCCACAGTTTAATTTAAGACTGTAATACCCCCATCTTATCCACAGTTTAATTTAAGACTGTAATACCCCCATCTTATCCATAGTTTAATTTAAGACTGTAATACCCCCATCTTATCCATAGTTTAATTTAAGACTGTAATACCCCCATCTTATCCATAGTTTAATTTAAGACTGTAATACCCCCATCTTATCCATAGTTTAATTTAAGACTGTAATACACCCATCTTATCCACAGTTTAATTTAAGACTGTAATACACCCATCTTATCCACAGTTTAATTTAAGACTGTAATACCCCCATCTTATCCACAGTTTAATTTAAGACTGTAATACCCCCATCTTATCCACAGTTTAATTTAAGACTGTAATACACCCATCTTATCCATAGTTTAATACCAACATAGGCGCCATAGCACTCAAGGGAAAGCTGGGGTGCCAAATAGCTCTTGAATAAGCTAAGACCACAAATGTTGAATGTAGCAAAGAGAACCTTATAAGCTAAGACCACAAATGTTGAATGTAGCAAAGAGAACCTTATAAGCTAAGACCACAAATGTTGAATGTAGTAAAGAGAACCTTATAAGCTAAGACCACAAATGTTGAATGGAGCAAAGAGAACCTTATAAGCTAATACCACAAATGTTGAATGTAGCAAAGAGAACCTTATAAGCTAAGACCACAAATGTTGAATGTAGCAAAGAGAACCTTATAAGCTAAGACCACAAATGTTGAATGTAGCAAAGAGAACCTTATAAGCTAAGACCACAAATGTTGAATGTAGCAAAGAGAACCTTATGCTAAGACCACAAATGTTGAATGTAGCAAAGAGAACCTTATAAGCTAAGACCACAAATGTTGAATGTAGCAAAGAGAACCTTATAAGCTAAGACCACAAATGTTGAATGTAGCAAAGAGAACCTTATAAGCTAAGACCACAAATGTTGAATGTAGCAAAGAGAACCTTATAAGCTAAGACCACAAATGTTGAATGTAGCAAAGAGAACCTTATAAGCTAAGACCACAAATGTTGAATGGAGCAAAGAGAACCTTATAAGCTAATACCACAAATGTTGAATGTAGCAAAGAGAACCTTATAAGCTAAGACCACAAATGTTGAATGTAGCAAAGAGAACCTTATAAGCTAAGACCACAAATGTTGAATGTAGCAAAGAGAACCTTATGAGCTAAGACCACAAATGTTGAATGTAGTAAAGAGAACCTTATAAGCTAAGACCACAAATGTTGAATGTAGCAAAGAGAACCTTATAAGCTAAGACCACAAATGTTGAATGTACCAAAGAGAACCTTATAAGCTAAGACCACAAATGTTGAATGTAGCAAAGAGAACCTTATAAGCTAATACCACAAATGTTGAATGTAGCAAAGAGAACCTTATAAGCTAAGACCACAAATGTTGAATGTAGCAAAGAGAACCTTATAAGCTAAGACCACAAATGTTGAATGTAGCAAAGAGAACCTTATGAGCTAAGACCACAAATGTTGAATGTAGTAAAGAGAACCTTATAAGCTAAGACCACAAATGTTGAATGTAGCAAAGAGAACCTTATAAGCTAAGACCACAAATGTTGAATGTACCAAAGAGAACCTTATAAGCTAAGACCACAAATGTTGAATGTAGCAAAGAGAACCTTATAAGCTAATACCACAAATGTTGAATGTAGCAAAGAGAACCTTATAAGCTAATACCACAAATGTTGAATGTAGCAAAGAGAACCTTATAAGCTAAGACCACAAATGTTGAATGTAGCAAAGAGAACCTTATAAGCTAAGACCACAAATGTTGAATGTAGCAAAGAGAACCTTATAAGCTAAGACCACAAATGTTGAATGTAGCAAAGAGAACCTTATAAGCTAAGACCACAAATGTTGAATGTAGCAAAGAGAACATTATAAGCTAAGACCACAAATGTTGAATGTAGCAAAGAGAACCTTATAAGCTAAGACCACAAATGTTGAATGTAGCAAAGAGAACCTTATAAGCTAAGACCACAAATGTTGAATGTAGCAAAGAGAACCTTATAAGCTAAGACCACAAATGTTGAATGTAGCAAAGAGAACCTTATAAGCTAAGACCACAAATGTTGAATGTAGTAAAGAGAACCTTATAAGCTAAGACCACAAATGTTGAATGTAGCAAAGAGAACCTTATAAGCTAAGACCACAAATGTTGAATGTAGCAAAGAGAACCTTATAAGCTAAGACCACAAATGTTGAATGTAGCAAAGAGAACCTTCAAATGTGCTCTGTCTTAAGATGAGTAGAGAATAGACTTCCTGGTCCTCTACTGTATCCCCCTGGTTGCTGGAGCCCCCTGATACCAGCTTGGAAGTTGCACTTGATGTGTTGAGTGCTGTCAGGCTGGCTGCAAGTGGCAGGGGTTCAACTCCTGGTAAATTGCGTTCAGCAGCATCTAGCCTGTAGCTTATAACACCAAATGTTTGAGTTGTCTCCTGATAGGCAATTCGTCTGGGGATGAAAATAAGCCAGTTCATTTACAAGTTTATAAATCAGTCAGTTAATTTACAACTTTATAAATAAGTCAGTTCATTTACATTTATAAATAAGCCAGTTCATTTACGTTTATAAATATGGCAGTTAATTTACAAGTTTATAAATAGTCAGGTTAGAAGTTGACAGACAGACAAGACAGGAACTTTTTTACTTGATATTTATTTTGAAAACCATGATTTTGAAAAAACAGTAAAGTAAATCCATAATAAAACATTAAAGACATGATAAAACAGTAAAGTCATGATAAAGACAAACAACAATTTCATCACCTGGGTGTCTCTCTCAGTGGTATGGTTCGAATGTGCAGCTTCTGTATTTCATCTATAGTGCCAATCATTAATGTTGTTTCATTGGCAAGTGCCAAGCTAAGAGAGGATAATAAGTTGGTTCATTACTTGTGGGGGTGGGAGCTTGAGTTGATTACTTGTGGGGGTGGGAGCTTGAGTTGATTACTTGTGGGGGTGGGAGCTTGAGTTCATTACTTGTGGGGGTGGGAGCTTGAGTTGATTACTTGTGGGGGTGGGAGCTTGAGTTCATTACTTGTGGGGGTGGGAGCTTGAGTTCATTACTTGTGGGGGTGGGAGCTTGAGTTGATTACTTGTGGGGGTGGGAGCTTGAGTTCATTACTTGTGGGGGTGGGAGCTTGAGCTCATTACTTGTGGGGGTGGGAGCTTGAGCTCATTACTTGTGGGGGTGGGAGCTTGAGTTGATTACTTGTGGGGGTGGGAGCTTGAGTTCATTACTTGTGGGGGTGGGAGCTTGAGTTCATTACTTGTGGGGGTGGGAGCTTGAGTTCATTACTTGTGGGGGTGGGAGCTTGAGTTCATTACTTGTGGGGGTGGGAGCTTGAGTTCATTACTTGTGGGGGTGGGAGCTTGAGCTCATTACTTGTGGGGGTGGGAGCTTGAGTTCATTACTTGTGGGGGTGGGAGCTTGAGTTCATTACTTGTGGGGGTGGGAGCTTGAGCTCATTACTTGTGGGGGTGGGAGCTTGAGTTCATTACTTGTGGGGGTGGGAGCTTGAGTTCATTACTTGTGGGGGTGGGAGCTTGAGCTCATTACTTGTGGGGGTGGGAGCTTGAGTTCATTACTTGTGGGGGTGGGAGCTTGAGTTCATTACTTGTGGGGGTGGGAGCTTGAGTTGATTACTTGTGGGGGTGGGAGCTTGAGTTCATTACTTGTGGGGGTGGGAGCTTCAGTTCATTACTTGTGGGGGTGGGAGCTTGAGTTCATTACTTGTGGGGGTGGGAGCTTGAGTTCATTACTTGTGGGGGTGGGAGCTTGAGTTGATTACTTGTGGGGGTGGGAGCTTGAGTTCATTACTTGTGGGGGTGGGAGCTTGAGTTGATTACTTGTGGGGGTGGGAGATTGAGTTGATTACTTGTGGGGGTGGGAGATTGAGTTGATTACTTGTGGGGGTGGGAGCTTGAGTTCATTACTTGTGGGGGTGGGAGATTGAGTTGATTACTTGTGGGGGTGGGAGCTTGAGTTGATTACTTGTGGGGGTGGGAGCTTGAGCTCATTACTTGTGGGGGTGGGAGCTTGAGTTCATTACTTGTGGGGGTGGGAGCTTGAGCTCATTACTTGTGGGGGTGGGAGCTTGAGTTCATTACTTGTGGGGGTGGGAGCTTGAGTTGATTACTTGTGGGGGTGGGAGCTTGAGTTGATTACTTGTGGGGGTGGGAGCTTGAGTTCATTACTTGTGGGGGTGGGAGCTTGAGTTCATTACTTGTGGGGGTGGGAGCTTGAGTTCATTACTTGTGGGGGTGGGAGCTTGAGTTCATTACTTGTGGGGGTGGGAGCTTGAGTTCATTACTTGTGGGGGTGGGAGCTTGAGTTCATTACTTGTGGGGGTGGGAGCTTCAGCTCATTACTTGTGGGGGTGGGAGCTTGAGCTCATTACTTGTGGGGGTGGGAGCTTGAGTTCATTACTTGTGGGGGTGGGAGCTTGAGTTCATTACTTGTGGGGGTGGGAGCTTGAGTTCATTACTTGTGGGGGTGGGCGCTTGAGTTCATTACTTGTGGGGGTGGGAGCTTGAGTTGATTACTTGTGGGGGTGGGAGCTTGAGCTCATTACTTGTGGGGGTGGGAGCTTGAGTTGATTACTTGTGGGGGTGGGAGCTTGAGTTCATTACTTGTGGGGGTGGGAGCTTGAGTTCATTACTTGTGGGGGTGGGAGCTTGAATTCATTACTTGTGGGGGTGGGAGCTTGAGTTGATTACTTGTGGGGGTGGGAGCTTGAATTCATTACTTGTGGGGGTGGGAGCTTGAGTTGATTACTTGTGGGGGTGGGAGCTTGAGCTCATTACTTGTGGGGGTGGGAGCTTGAGCTCATTACTTGTGGGGGTGGGAGCTTGAGTTGATTACTTGTGGGGGTGGGAGCTTGAGTTCATTACTTGTGGGGGTGGGAGCTTGAGTTGATTACTTGTGGGGGTGGGAGCTTGAGTTCATTACTTGTGGGGGTGGGAGCTTGAGCTCATTACTTGTGGGGGTGGGAGCTTGAGTTCATTACTTGTGGGGGTGGGAGCTTGAGTTGATTACTTGTGGGGGTGGGAGCTTGAGTTGATTACTTGTGGGGGTGGGAGCTTGAGTTCATTACTTGTGGGGGTGGGAGCTTGAGTTGATTACTTGTGGGGGTGGGAGCTTGAGTTGATTACTTGTGGGGGTGGGAGCTTGAGCTCATTACTTGTGGGGGTGGGAGCTTGAGTTCATTACTTGTGGGGGTGGGAGCTTGAGTTCATTACTTGTGGGGGTGGGAGCTTGAGTTGATTACTTGTGGGGGTGGGAGCTTGAGTTCATTACTTGTGGGGGTGGGAGCTTGAGTTCATTACTTGTGGGGGTGGGAGCTTGAGTTCATTACTTGTGGGGGTGGGAGCTTGAGTTCATTACTTGTGGGGGTGGGAGCTTGAGTTCATTACTTGTGGGGGTGGGAGCTTGAGCTCATTACTTGTGGGGGTGGGAGCTTGAGTTGATTACTTGTGGGGGTGGGAGCTTGAGTTCATTACTTGTGGGGGTGGGAGCTTGAGTTGGGGGAGGTGGGAGGGGTCAGAATGTGATGTTAATAAGCTAAACTTTAGCCTTTGTTGCAAGTTCAAAATATTTGTAAATTTTAATTATGTGATATGAGTGATGCACCAAGCCTGATGTAAAACTGTGATAACACCTTTTGGTTATTCAACATTTAAGTTTAACTACAAAATCATTTTGTAATTACATGAAATAAGTTTTTGCAAGAATATAATCTGAAGCACTGATTTTAATTTAGGACCCGTTTTTAATGTCCAGCATTCCAAAGTTTGTCTAATCTGGTTGACCTACCTATCCGGGTAGCCGTCAGAGTTGAGTGGACACATGTGGTTGACCTCCTTTAAGTTGACATTAGAAAAGACCAGCTTGTGGTTGCTGCTATAGATGACAGTGGGCCGGTCAGAGCAGGCAAAGACGTTGGTGGTGGAGAGAGATTTGAAAGTTTTCAACATGGTCGGCTGAGTACCCAGGCTCACTTTCTTCTTCTCTGTCAGGGTACCTGAAACCAGATAGACAGGTTGGTGGATGCCTACCTAATGTTGGTGGATGCCTACCTAATGATGGTGGATGCCTACCTTATGGTGGTGGATGCCTACCTTATGGTGGTGGATGTCTACCTTATGGTGGTGGATGTCTACCTAATGGTGGTGGATGCCTACCTAATGATGGTGGATGCCTACCTTATGGTGGTGGATGCCTACCTTATGGTGGTGGATGCCTACCTTATGGTGGTGGATGCCTACCTTATGGTGGTGGATGCCTACCTTATGGTGGTGGATGTCTACCTTATGGTGGTGGTGGATGTCTACCTTATGGTGGTGGATGCCTACCTTATGGTGGTGGATGCCTACCTTATGGTGGTGGATGCCTACCTTATGGTGGTGGATGTCTACCTTATGGTGGTGGATGCCTACCTTATGGTGGTGGATGCCTACCTTATGGTGGTGGATGTCTACCTTATGGTGGTGGATGTCTACCTAATGGTGGTGGATGCCTACCTTATGGTGGTGGATGCCTACCTTATGGTGGTGGATGCCTACCTTATGGTGGTGGATGCCTACCTTATGGTGGTGGATGTCTACCTTATGGTGGTGGATGCCTACCTTATGGTGGTGGATGCCTACCTTATGGTGGTGGATGCCTACCTTATGGTGGTGGTGGATGTCTACCTTATGGTGGTGGTGGATGCCTACCTTATGGTGGTGGATGCCTACCTTATGGTGGTGGATGCCTACCTGAAGTTGGATCCATGAGAAAATAAAAAAGAGACCCGTCGCCCAATGCACACAGTAGGTAGTGAATGCCTTCAAAGGTTGTCATCAAAATTGACCGTGGGATAATTTCTGAAAAAAAATTGTTTTTTAACATACATTCTTTCTACATTCCAATTTCATTCTTTACACATTCCAATTTCATTCTTTACACATTCAAATTTCATTCTTTACACATTCAAATTTCATTCTTTATACATTCCAATTTCATTCTTTACACATTCAAATTTCATTCTTTACACATTCAAATTTCATTCTTTACACATTCAAATTTCATTCTTTATACATTGAAATTTCATTCTTTACACATTCCAATTTCATTCTTTACACATTCAAATTTCATTCTTTATACATTCAAATTCCATTCTTTACACATTCCAATTTCATTCTTTATACATTCCAATTTCATTCTTTATACATTCCAATTTCATTCTTTACACATTCCAATTTCATTCTTTATACATTCAAATTTCATTCTTTATACATTCAAATTTCATTCTTTATACATTCCAATTTCATTCTTTACACATTCCAATTTCATTCTTTACACATTCCAATTTCATTCTTTATACATTCCAATTTCATTCTTTACACATTCCAATTTCATTCTTTATACATTCCAATTTCATTCTTTATACATTCCAATTTCATTCTTTACACATTCCAATTTCATTCTTTATACATTCCAATTTCATTCTTTACACATTCCAATTTCATTCTTTACACATTCAAATTTCATTCTTTATACATTCCAATTTCATTCTTTACACATTCCAATTTCATTCTTTACACATTCAAATTTCATTCTTTATACATTCCAATTTCATTCTTTACACATTCCAATTTCATTCTTTATACATTCCAATTTCATTCTTTACACATTCCAATTTCATTCTTTATACATTCAAATTTCATTCTTTATACATTCCAATTTCATTCTTTACACATTCAAATTTCATTCTTTACACATTCAAATTTCATTCTTTACACATTCAAATGTCATTCTTTCTACCATCAAATTTGTTTTCCTGCCACTCCACCCAACAATAACACAAAAAAAGGACTATTTTATTATATATTAACATTCATATTTCCATCTAAATACTATCTAACACAAAATGACCCTAAACCTAAAGTTACTCCTAATTTTATCTTTGGGCTAGGGTTATTGTTTGAAAATGTTCTATCCAGAAAAAAACTAACTCTGTATCTTGCCAGTTGTATTCTTTACAGATACCTGCTATCATCAAATCTTTACAGATACCTGCAATCATCAAATCTTTACAGATACCTGCTCTCATCAAATCTTTACAGATACCTGCTATCAAATCTTTACAGATACCTGCTATCATCAAATCTTTACAGATACCTGCTATCATCAAATCTTTACAGATACCTGCTATCATCAAATCTTTACAGATACCTGCTATCATCAAATCTTTACAGATGCCTGCTATCAAATCTTTACAGATACCTGCTATCAAATCTTTACAGATACCTGCTATCATCAAATCTTTACAGATACCTGCTATCATCAAATCTTTACAGATACCTGCTATCATCAAATCTTTACAGATACCTGCTATCATCAAATCTTTACAGATACCTGCTATCATCAAATCTTTATAGATACCTGCTATCAAATCTTTACAGATACCTGCTATCAAATCTTTACAGATACCTGCTATCATCAAATCTTTACAGATACCTGCTATCATCAAATCTTTACAGATACCTGCTATCATCAAATCTTTACAGATACCTAAAAGTATTCTACTCTTTCTACCATTCCTACATAAACTATTCATCCCCTCCAACCCTAGGGTTTGGGTTAAAGCCTGCCATCAATAATTTGTCAAAGCAACCAATCATTTAACAAAGCATCCAATCAATTGTCAAAGCAACCAATCATTTGTCAAAGTAACCAATCATTTATCAAAGCAACCAATCATTTGTCAAAGCAACCAATCATTTGTCAAAGCAACCAATCATTTGTCAAAGCAACCAATCATTTGTCAAAGCAACCAATCATTTAACAAAGCATCCAATCATTTGTCAAAGCAACCAATCATTTAACAAAGCATCCAATCATTTGTCAAAGCAACCAATCATTTGTCAAAGTAACCAATCATTTATCAAAGCAACCAATCATTTGTCAAAGCAACCAATCATTTGTCAAAGCAACCAATCATTTGTCAAAGCAACCAATCATTTGTCAAAGCAACCAATCATTTATCAAAGCATACAATCATTTAACAAAGCAACCAATAATTTGTCAAAGCAACCAATCATTTAACAAAGCATCCAATCATTTGTCAAAGCAACCAATCATTTAACAAAGCATCCAATCATTTGTCAAAGCATCCAATCATTTGTCAAAGTAACCAATCATTTATCAAAGCAACCAATCATTTGTCAAAGCAACCAATCATTTGTCAAAGCAACCAATCATTTGTCAAAGCAACCAATCATTTGTCAAAGCAACCAATCATTTATCAAAGCAACCAATCATTTAACAAAGCAACCAATCATTTGCCAAAGCAACCAATCATTTAACAAAGCATACAATCATTTAACAAAGCAACCAATCATTTGTAAAAGCAACCAATCATTTGTCAAAGCAACCAATCATTTGTCAAAGCAACCAATCATTTGTCAAAGCAACCAATCATTTATCAAAGCATACAATCATTTAACAAAGCAACCAATCATTTGTCAAAGCAACCAATCATTTGTCAAAGCAACCAATCATTTAACAAAGAATACAATCATTTAACAAAGCAACCAATCATTTGTAAAAGCAACCAATCATTTGTCAGAGCAACCAATCATTTATCAAAGCATACAATCATTTAACAAAGCAACCGATCATTTGTCAAAGCAACCAATCATTTGTCAGAGCAACCAATAATTTAACAAAGCATACAATCATTTAACAAAGCAACCGATCATTTGTCAAAGCAACCAATCATTTAACAAAGCAACCAATCATTTGTCAAAGCATACAATCATTTAACAAAGCAACCAATCATTTGTCAAAGCAACCAATCATTTAACAAAGCAACCAATCATTTGTCAAAGCAACCAACCATTTGTCAAAGCATCCAATCATTTAACAAAGCATCCAATCATTTAACAAAGCAACCAATCATTTAACAAAGCATACAATCATTTAACAAAACAACCAATCATTTGTCAAAGCATCCAATCATTTAACAAAGCAACCACTCATTTGTCAAAGCAACCAATCATTTAATAAAGCAACCAACCATTTGTCAAAGCAACCAATCATTTGTCAAAGCATACAATCATTTAACAAAGCAACCAATCATTTATCAAAGCATACAATCATTTAACAAAGCAACCAATCATGTGTCAAAGCAACCAACCATTTAACAAAGCATCCAATCATTTGTCAAAGCAACCAATCATTTAACAAAGCATCCAATCATTTGTCAAAGCAACCAATCATTTGTCAAAGCAACCAATCATTTGTCAAAGCAACCAATCATTTGTCAAAGCAACCAATCATTTGTCAAAGCAACCAATCATTTGTCAAAGCAACCAATCATTTGTCAAAGCAACCAATCATTTGTCAAAGCAACCAATCATTTGTCAAAGCAACCAATCATTTGTCAAAGCAACCAATCATTTCACAAAGCATCCAATCATTTAACAAAGCATCCAATCATTTGTCAAAGCAACCAATCATTTAACAAAGCAACCAATCATTTGTCAAAGCAACCAATCATTTGTCAAAGCAACCAATCATTTGTCAAAGCAACCAATCATTTGTCAAAGCAACCAATCATTTGTCAAAGCAACCAATCATTTGTCAAAGCAACCAATCATTTGTCAAAGCAACCAATCATTTCACAAAGCATCCAATCATTTAACAAAGCATCCAATCATTTGTCAAAGCAACCAATCATTTCACAAAGCATCCAATCATTTAACAAAGCATCCAATGCTGAATGAACAGACCTCCCCCCAACATCTCAACATGGAGACTCTCAAAGTGAGGCAGACGAAAGGTCCTGGCAGAAATATCTGTCCACAAGCCAACAGCCAGTACATCAGATGCTGTGTTGTCTCCCAGTGAGCTGATATCCAGGCAGGCAACTTCATGTTCAACTCTTGTTTGTCTGAGATCAAACATCAACTTCTTATGGACACAATGGTTGCAACAAGTTTTACGATAGAATGGTTGCAACAAGTTTTAGGATAGAATGGTTGCAACAAGTTTTAGGATACAATGGTTGCACCAAGTTTTAGGATAGAATGGTTGCAACAAGTTTTAGGATAGAATGGTTGCAACAAGTTTTAGGATAGAATGGTTGCAACAAGTTTTAGGATAGAATGGTTGCAACAAGTTTTAGGATACAATGGTTGCACCAAGTTTTAGGATAGAATGGTTGCAACAAGTTTTAGGATAGAATGGTTGCACCAAGTTTTAGGATAGAATGGTTGCAACAAGTTTTAGGATAGAATGGTTGCAACAAGTTTTAGGATAGAATGGTTGCAACAAGTTTTAGGATACAATGGTTGCACCAAGTTTTAGGATACAATGGTTGCAACAAGTTTTAGGATAGAATGGTTGCAACAAGTTTTAGGATACAATGGTTGCACCAAGTTTTAGGATAGAATGGTTGCAACAAGTTTTAGGATAGAATGGTTGCACCAAGTTTTAGGATAGAATGGTTGCAACAAGTTTTAGGATAGAATGGTTGCAACAAGTTTTAGGATACAATGGTTGCAACAAGTTTTAGGATAGAATGGTTGAAACAAGTTTTAGGATAGAATGGTTGAAACAAGTTTTAGGATAGAATGGTTGCAACAAGTTTTAGGATAGAATGGTTGCAACAAGTTTTAGGATAGAATGGTTGCAACAAGTTTTAGCATAGAATGGTTGAGAACTACATAAAAGTTTAACTAAGTGAAAATAAGATCAACTTCTTGAAAATTAGTGAGATTTAAAAATAGTAAGTTAATGCATGTAAAGAGTAAGATCAAAACATGTAAAAATGGATGGATGTAAAGATGGTGTCCAACGAACCCCTTTAATGAACAAGTGCCGTGTTCAATCTCAAAATAGAAGAGCTGACTGCCAGCGGCCACAACGACCTGGCTCTGGTTACAGCAGGCCAAGCTGATGTTCCTGCCCTCAGGGTGCTTCCATTCTGATGCCAGACCTCCAGGTGTGCTGCTCAGTAGGCGCATAGAGGCCTGCGTGATCTGAAACCAGTTGTACATGGTACAGTCAACCTGTTGTACATGGTACAGTCAATGGTTCTAGTTGTACATGGTACAGTCAATGGCTCTAGTTGTACATGCTACAGTCAATGGCTCTAGTTGTACATGCTACAGTCAATTACTCCAGTTGTACATGATTCTTAACAGTATATGATTATAGGCTTAGAGATCTAGAGAATAATGTGATAATAACCCTAAAGATTTTTGGGATTTAAAAAAAAAACATGGTTAAGTGTTTAAATATTACTAAATGAATAGCGATCCATAGATTTGTATGATAATAGACATAGAGATCTAGAGATTTAACAAAAAGTGTTGAGTATTTTATGTTTAAATATTCATACATTTTTTGTTTGGGTTTGAATAAAAATTCTACTAGCTCACAGGGATTACTATTCAATATTTACTCTATAATACAAAAAGAAAATCTTACTTATCAGCTGTATATAATTGTACACTAAAATAGGTGTGAATTTTTTTCTTTAGCACTGACTGAGCTAGTATTTTAAAATTATGAATACGATTCACTATTCTGTCAGTAATTATTTCACTATTCTGGTTAATTAGTTTACTTGGTTTGAAGTCATGTTTTGGTTAAGATACATAATTAGGTTTAGGTTTTTATTAAGAGAAAAAAATGTAACATTATCAGCCTAGTTTCAGTAGTATTTCCTCCTCAATGTGCTAAATGTTAGTAACAGATAGTACATTAAAAACATACAATTTGTACGGCTGTTGTAGTTCACGCATTTCTAGATTTCAAAACATCAGAAAATTTTTAAACCAATTGTTTTATTGATCTAGCAACTAAATGGTTGACCAACCAGATGGCCCAGTGAGTTGACCAACCAGATGGCCCAGTCAGTTGACCAACCAGATGGCCCAGTGAGTTGACCAACCAGATGGCCCAGTTAGTTGACCAACCAGATGGGCCAAGTTAGTTGACCAACCAGATGGCCCAGTTAGTTGATCAACCAGATGGCCCAGTTAGTTGACCAACCAGATGGCCCAGTTAGTTGACCAACCAGATGGCCCAGTGAGTTGACCAACCAGATGGCCCAGTTAGTTGACCAACCAGATGGCCCAGTTAGTTGACCAACCAGATGGCCCAGTTAGTTGACCAACCAGATGGCCCAGTTAGTTGACCAACCAGATGGCCCAGTGAGTTGACCAACCAGATGGCCCAGTTAGTTGACCAACCAGATGGCCCAGTTAGTTGATCAACCAGATGGCCCAGTTAGTTGATCAACCAGATGGCCCAGTTAGTTGACCAACCAGATGGCCCAGTGAGTTGACCAACCAGATGGCCCAGTTAGTTGACCAACCAGATGGGCCAAGTTAGTTGACCAACCAGATGGCCTAGCTGTAGGATTTGGTTAAAGCAGACAAACCTGTAGGATTTGGTTAAAGCAGACAAACCTATAGGATTTGGTTAAAGCAGACAAACCTGTAGGATTTGGTTAAAGCAGACAAACCTATAGGATTTGGTTAAAGCAGACAAACCTGTAGGATTTGGTTAAAGCAGACAAACCTATAGGATTTGGTTAAAGCAGACAAACCTATAGGATTTGGTTAAAGCAGACAAACCTATAGGATTTGGTTAAAGCAGACAAACCTGTAGGATTTGGTTAAAGCAGACATTTGTGCAGATAAAGGTCTGATGATCTCCATCAAATCCAGGCAGCTCTGTCTCCTCAACTTCTTCCCCAGTCAGCTGGAGGACCCTGACAATAGATCAAGGTCATGTGGTCAACATATCAAGGTCATGTGGTCATCACATCAAGGTCATGTGGTCAACACATCAAGGTCATGTGGTCAACACATCAAGGTCATGTGGTCAACACACATAGGTCATATGGTCAACACATCAAGGTCATATGTATGGTCAACACATCAAGGTCATGTGGTCCACACCAAGGTCATGTGGTCCACACCAAGGTCATGTGGTCAACACACATAGGTCATATGGTCAAACACATCAAGGTCATGCTGTCATAGGGCAAACACAAAGGTCATGAGGTCAACACATCAAGGTCATGAGGTCAACACAACAAGGTCATGTGGTCAATACATCAAGGTCATGTGGTCAACACATCAAGGTCATGTGGTCAGCACATCAAGGTCATGTGGTCAACACACAAAGATCATATGGTCAAACACATCAAGGTCATGCTGTCATAGGGCAAACACAAAGGTCATGAGGTCAACACATCAAGGTCATGATGTCAACACATCAAGGTCATGATGTCAACACATCAAGGTCATATGGTCAACACATCAAGGTCATGTTATCAACACATCAAGGTCATGTGGTCAACACACATAGGTCGTATGGTCAAACACATCAAGGTCATGCTGTCATAGGGCAAACACAAAGGTCATGAGGTCAACACATCAAGGTCATGAGGTCAACACATCAAGGTCATATGTATGGTCAACACATCAAAGTCATGTGGTCCACACCAAGGTCATGTGGTCAACACACATAGGTCATATGGTCAAACACATCAAGGTCATGCTGTCATAGGGCAAACACAAAGGTCATGAGGTCAACACATCAAGGTCATGATGTCAACACATCAAGGTCATGATGTCAACACATCAAGGTCATGAGGTCAACACATCAAGGTCATATGGTCAACACATCAAGGTCATGTTATCAACACATCAAGGTCATGTGGTCAACACACATAGGTCGTATGGTCAAACACATCAAGGTCATGCTGTCATAAGGCAAACACAAAGGTCATGAGGTCAACACATCAAGGTCATGAGGTCAACACATCAAGGTCATATGTATGGTTAACACATCAAGGTCATGTGGTCCACACCAAGGTCATGTGGTCAACACACATAGGTCATATGGTCAAACACATCAAGGTCATGCTGTCATAGGGCAAACACAAAAGTCATGAGGTCAACACATCAAGGTCACGAGGTCAACACATCAAGGTCATATGGTCAACACATCAAGGTCATATGGTCAATGGGGTAAATATATTATTACATTGGACAATTTTGTATAAATATGTACAAACAAAATGTTGGCTATAAATTAAACCTCTAATATGACAGTACATATTAATTACATACAAAATGACATCACTATGGTGTTGTCCTTACCTAGACTGGCCAACAAATGACATCACTATGGTGTTATCCTTACCTAGACTGGCCAACAAATGACATCACTATGGTGTTATCCTTACCTAGACTGGCCAACAAATGACATCACTATGGTGTTATCCTTACCTAGACTGGCCAACAAATGACATCACTATGGTGTTATCCAATTCTGAGTTCACACGAAGAGGCCAAATTCCTGAAGAAAACAAATTTCATTTTTACTTTCTCGTATATACAAAGTATAGAGAAAGTCTTGTAATCGTGCAAAAAAAAAAAATCGAGATTTTTACAAATCTCGACGTTTTACACCTCACTGATACGGAAAAACGTAATTTTGCAATCTTGTCCGTATGTCTGTGTGTGTGTAAACACGATAACTTGAGTACCGTTACAGCTAGGTTGATGAAATTTCATATATGAGTATTTTATCAAAATCGTAGATCCATATCAACTTTTGAGCAATTTCCGATAACCGGAAGTGGTACTTTTCCTACTTTGAATTTTTCAAAAGCCTATAACTTGAGTACTATTTCAGATAGATAAATGAAATTTCACATGTAAGTAAAAGATCTAATTCTCTACCTTCTCTTAAATTTTGAGTAATTTCCGTTGACTGACACACAAACTTTGGCATCACACACACACAAACTTTGGCATCACACACACACAAACTTTGACATCACACACACACACACACAAACTTTGGCATCACACACACACAAACTTTGGCATCACACACACAAACTTTGGCATCACACACACACACACTAACTTTGGCATCACACACACACACACAAACTTTGGCATCACACACACACACAAACTTTGGCATCACACACACACACAAACTTTGGCATCACACACACACAAACTTTGGCATCACACACACACTAACTTTGGCATCACACACACACAAACTTTGGCATCACACACACACACAAACTTTGGCATCACACACACACACAAACTTTGGCATCACACACACACACACACAAACTTTGGCATCACACACACAAACTTTGGCATCACACACACACAAACTTTGGCATCACACACACACAAACTTTGGCATCACACACACACTAACTTTGGCATCACACACACACAAACTTTGGCATCACACACACACAAACTTTGGCAGCGTCCGATAAAATTTTCTCAATTTAATTAGTTGTTTTTCAGAATCCAAGTTTTTAATCATAAACCTAGGTCATAATAACGCTAGGGTGGCCAATTTTCGTTGTATTTACTTCTTGTAGTTTACTCGTGAGGCTGATTTTGTATTTTATAGAACTTTTTTTTGTAAATCTGCAAAACTGCATTTATCAACACTGCGGAATGGTGTTCAGTGGCAGCGTCTTAACGTTTACATCGCTGCATTATAGAATTAACCAAAATTAAAATATTTAAACTAAGACTAATCTGATCCATGATTTTTGTAGAAAAATTTATATCAGTGTGTAGGGCATTCAATTACGATTAGCTTTTAGCAATATTGTGTGGGGTTTAAATCAATGGGTAAAAAGATATGGGTCGTTTAGCCACAGAGGTAGTGAAAAAAAAATTCGGGTCTAACGTGAAAATAGTTACAGGTTTAAAGAGTTAAGTGAGGTTAGAGGTCAATCTAAGACTTTGTGCGTAGCAGATCCTGACAAAACACTCCCGGGGGGTTTAAGTTTGGAGCTATAAACATTTTTTGGCTATAAACAAATTGTTGGAGCTATAAAAAATTTGTTGGAGCTATAAAAAAATTGTTGGAGCTATAAAAAAATTGTTGGAGCTATAAAAAAATTGTTGGAGCTATAAAAAAATTGTTGAGATATAAAAAATTTGTTGGAGCAATAAAAAAAATTGTTGGAGCTATAAAAAAATTGTTGGAGCTATAAAAAAATTGTTGGAGCTATAAAAAATTGTTGAGCTATAAAAAAATTGTTGGAGCTATAAAAAAATTGTTGGAGCTATAAAAAAATTGTTGGAGCTATAAAAAAATTGTTGGAGCTATAAAAAATTTGTTGGAGCTATAAAAAATGTGTTGGAGCAATAAAAAAATTGTTGGAGCTATAAAAAAATTGTTGGAGCTATAAAAAAATTGTTGAGCTATAAAAAAATTGTTGGAGCTATAAAAAAATTGTTGGAGCTATAAAAAATTGTTGAGCTATAAAAAAATTGTTGGAGCTATAAAAAAATTTGTTGGAGCTATAAAAAATTGTTGAGCTATAAAAAAATTGTTGAGCTATAAAAAAATTGTTGGAGCTATAAAAAAATTGTTGGAGCTATAAAAAAATTGTTGGAGCTATAAAAAAATTGTTGGAGCAATAAAAAAATTGTTGAGCTATAAAAAAATTGTTGGAGCTATAAAAAAATTATTGAAGCTATTAAAAAAATTGTTGGAGCTATAAGAGGAGCTATTAAAAAATTTGTTGGAGCTATAAAAAAATTGTTGTAGCTATAAAAAAATTGTTGGAGCTATAAAAAAATTATTGAAGCTATTAAAAAAATTGTTGGAGCTATAAGAGGAGCTATTAAAAAATTTGTTGGAGCTATAAAAAAATTGTTGAGCTATAAAAAAATTGTTGGAGCTATAAAAAATTTGTTGGAGCTATAAAAAAAATTGTTGGAGCTATAAAAAATTTGTTGGGAGCTATAAAAAAATTATTGGAGCTATAAACAAATTGTTGGAGCTATAAAAAAATTGTTGGAGCTATTAAAAAAATGTTGGAGCTATAAAAAAATTGTTGGAGCTATAAAAAAAATTGTTGGAGCTATTAAAAAATTGTTGGAGCTATAAAAAAATTATTGAAGCTATTAAACAAATTTTTGGAGCTATAAAAAAATTGTTGGAGCTATAAAAAAAATTATTGAAGCTATTAAACAAATTGTTGGAGCTATAAAAAAATTGTTGGAGCTATAAAACAAATGTTGGAGCTATAACAAAATTATTGAAGCTATAAAACCTACCTTTAATTCCAGGCAAGTCAATGCTGGCATGTTCATTGATGCCTATTCCATTTCTTATGATTCGCAAGGAGCCTTCCTTAAAAGCACCGGAACAGGTGACAAGCTAGAAAAGAATAACATTGTTTTGTTCAATTCTCTTGACCTATCAAGGGTTTAGGCAATGTTGATACCATTTATATGTTCTCTTTACATGGGGGGGGGGGGGGGGGGGGGTCAGAGTTGGATCCAATTTAAGTTTTGTATATTGCTTCAGTATGCACAAGTCAGCCTAAATGATGAAAATTTGTGGGCAGGGGAGGAACGACTTAAATCTAAGAAATCACTTCACTACACAAACCCATCCACCTGCCATTACCCCACACCACCCATCTCCCTGCCATTACCCCACTCCACCCATCTCCCTGCCAACACTCCACCCATCCACCTGCCAACACCCCACTCCACCCATCCCCCTGCCAACACCCCACTCCACCCATCTCCCTGCCAACACCCCACTCCACCCATCTCCCTGCCAACACCCCACTCCACCCATCTCCCTGCCAACACTCCACCCATCCACCTGCCCACACCCCACTCCACCCATCCCCCTGCCATTACCCCACTCCACCCATCTCCCTGCCAACACTCCACCCATCCCCCTGCCAACACCCCACTCCACCCATCTCCCTGCCAACACCCCACTCCACCCATCTCCCTGCCAACACCCCACTCCACCCATCTTCCTGCCAACACCCCACTCCACCCATCCCTCTGCCAACACCCCACACCACCCATCCCTCTGCCAACACCCCACTCCACCCATCCCCCTGCCAACACCCCACTCCACCCATCCACCTGCCAACACCCCACCCATCCACCTGCCAACACCCCACCCATCCCCCTGCCAACACCCCACTCCACCCATCTCCCTGCCAACACCCCACTCCACCCATCTCCCTGCCAACACCCCACTCCACCCATCTCCCTGCCAACACCCCACTCCACCCATCTCCCTGCCAACACCCCACTCCACCCATCTCCCTGCCAACACTCCACCCATCCACCTGCCAACACCCCACTCCACCCATCCCCCTGCCATTACCCCACACCACCCATCCCTCCATTATAACCCACCAATTCCCCTTCCCTCTAATTACCCATTCCTGGCAGCCCACTATATAAGGGAACCTTTTCAGTGTTTTTTTTCCCACAAACCCCCTCACCCCCTTTAAAGGGTAGTTAGCTATTGGGTCATTGCTTTAAATAGCCATTGTACCTGTCCTTGACCTTGCCTTTCCAGATCAACTACAACCATGTCAACAATTGGTCCAAGGTTAACAAACGTCTCCATCACTTGCACATAGGAGCCACTGCTGTCTCTTTTGGAATTTAACTGCACCAAAAATATCAGTATAGTTACCAGGTCCATTGATAATTTTAAAAATTTAACTGCACCAAAAATATCAGTATAGTTACCAGGTCCATTGATAATTTTAAAAATTTAACTGCACCAAAAATATCAGTATAGTTACCAGGTCCATTGATAATTTAAAAAATTTAACTGCACCAAAAAATATCAGTATAGTTACCAGGTCTATGGATAACATTTTTTACCTCCTTTCTGTTTTCAATGAATAAGAGGTTAGTTAAAATAATTTTTTATTATAAATTGTCCTAAATTTTTACTTTCTCGGATACGAAGTATAGAGGAAGAGTTGTACTCATGCCAAAAATTGGAAAAGAGATTTTCACACATCCCTGAGTTGAATTGACATAGTTTTGCAATTTTGTCTATATGTCTGTATGTCTGTGTGTATATTAACACGATAGCTTGAGAACCGCTACAGCTAGGTTGATGAAATTTCATATATAAGTATTATATTGTTCTGAGTGATTTCCTGTAACCAGAAGTGGAATTTATTCTATTTTGGTTTTTCAAAAGCCAATTCTAATTCTCTGCCTTTTGTCAATTTTTGAGTAATTTCCATTTACCAAAAGTAGTACTTTATGCTATTTCTGATTTCTCAAAAAACTCATAATAATGTTAAAGTTCTAATATTCTGCACTGTTATACACAAATTGTTTGCTGTTTACTTGGTGTGCAATTCTTTTTTTTGAGATTCTATTCTATTTTCAAAAGTAATTAAAAATTGATAAAAAATCATGTCTATGTCCAGAGTTGCCATCCCTTGTAATGATATATCACAATAATTGAGAACAATTAGGGGAGATCACCCACGCTTTTTTTTCCTGTGGAAAGCTACTCATTATTTTGTTAGTTTAAAACAAAGTAATTTTCTTTCTTCAATAAATAAATTATTACTTAAAATTAATATTGGTCTGTAGGATATTTAATTATGATTAAGTATTATAAATAACAAGCGCACCAGTCCGACATTGATTTAGTCCTACACACACGAGTGACAAAATGATTAATAAGGGTTTCATCAATGTGTTACCTAAATAAAGACATGTACTGGCAAACTCTGGGCACCATCACTACTCTACTGAGTTAGATGACAAGCCATTCAGTTCCATTTAGTCAACAATAATAGCAGTACACCTTATCTATGGTGTATGGTGCTCTTTAAAACAAATGTAGCTTCGGGACACTGGATGATGCTCATTATTTGATTAAGTCATCAATTTATGGAGACCACCGTGTCCATAGTGTAAGGCACTATTTAAAATAATTGTAAGTGCCTTAGTGCTCAGGTGGGAGGCCGGGGTGGGAGCGGACATGTCTGATCTAGCCAATAATTATTTATTGTAGCCTCGTGAAAAGTGATAGATGAAATGAATGTAGATATAAAAGTGCTCATGTTGGAGCCCAAATGAATCAAGTAGTACCACTTACCCCTGACCTAAATGAATCAAGTAGTACCACTTACCCCTGACCTAAATGAATCAAGTAGTACCACTTACCCCTGACCCAAATGAATCAAGTAGTACCACTTACCCCTGACCTAAATGGATCAAGTAGTACCAATTACCCCTGACCCACTGTGCAGGATGCCTAACCCTCGACCATATGTGCAGGACACCCAATCAACAAAAGGTCCACCTATTTTGACCTAATCAACTGAACAAAAAGTCAACCTATTTAGACCTACCTTAACCAACTGTGAGTCACCAAGATGTGAACCAAGGAAGACAACTCCATTGTCTAAATATAAAATCACCTCTGGAATGGTTGTCTGCAATACAAAGTCAGAAATAGCTAATCAGTGTCAAAACAAACCATCAGATGTCTACACAAAGTTGACCATCAGATGTCCACACAAAGTTGACCATCAGATGTCCACACAAAGTTGACCATCAGATGTCCACATAATGTTGACCATCAGATGTCCACACAAAGTTGACCATCAGATGTCCACACAAAGTTGACCATCAGATGTCCACACAAAGTTGACCATCAGATGTCCACACAAAGTTGACCATCAGATGTCCACACAAAGTTGACCATCAGATGTCCATTTAATGTTGACCATCAGATGTCCACACAAAGTTGACCATCAGATGTCCACACAAAGTTGACCATCAGATGTCCACACAATGTTGACCATCAGATGTCCACACAATGTTGACCATCAGATGTCCACACAAAGTTGACCATCAGATGTCCACACAATGTTGACCATCAGATGTCCACACAAAGTTGACCATCAGATGTCCATTTAATGTTGACCATCAGATGTCCACACAAAGTTGACCATCAGATGTCCACACAATGTTGACCATCAGATGTCCACACAAAGTTGACCATCAGATGTCCACATAATGTTGACCATCAGATGTCCACACAAAGTTGACCATCAGATGTCCACACAAAGTTGACCATCAGATGTCCATTTAATGTTGACCATCAGATGTCCACACAAAGTTGACCATCAGATGTCCACACAATGTTGACCATCAGATGTCCACACAATGTTGACCATCAGATGTCCACACAATGTTGACCATCAGATGTCCACACAAAGTTGACCATCAGATGTCCACACAAAGTTGACCATCAGATGTCCACACAATGTTGACCATCAGATGTCCACACAAAGTTGACCATCAGATGTCCACACAAAGTTGACCATCAGATGTCCACACAAAGTTGACCATCAGATGTCCACACAATGTTGACCATCAGATGTCCACACAATGTTGACCATCAGATGTCCACACAAAGTTGACCATCAGATGTCCACACAAAGTTGACCATCAGATGTCCACACAAAGTTGACCATCAGATGTTCACACAATGTTGACCATCAGATGTCCACACAAAGTTGACCATCAGATGTCCACATAATGTTGACCATCAGATGTCCACACAAAGTTGACCATCAGATGTCCACACAAAGTTGACCATCAGATGTCCACACAAAGTTGACCATCAGATGTCCACACAATGTTGACCATCAGATGTCCACACAAAGTTGACCATCAGATGTCCACACAAAGTTGACCATCAGATGTCCACACAAAGTTGACCATCAGATGTCCACACAAAGTTGACCATCAGATGTCCACACAAAGTTGACCATCAGATGTCCACACAAAGTTGACCATCAGATGTCCACACAATGTTGACCATCAGATGTCCACACAATGTTGACCATCAGATGTCCACACAAAGTTGACCATCAGATGTCCACACAATGTTGACCATCAGATGTCCACACAAAGTTGACCATCAGATGTCCACACAAAGTTGACCATCAGATGTCCACACAAAGTTGACCATCAGATGTCCACACAAAGTTGACCATCAGATGTCCACACAAAGTTGACCATCAGATGTCCACACAAAGTTGACCATCAGATGTCCACACAAAGTTGACCATCAGATGTCCACACAAAGTTGACCATCAGATGTCCACACAAAGTTGACCATCAGATGTCCACACAATGTTGACCATCAGATGTCCACACAATGTTGACCATCAGATGTCCACACAAAGTTGACCATCAGATGTCCACACAAAGTTGACCATCAGATGTCCACACAAAGTTGACCATCAGATGTCCACACAATGTTGACCATCAGATGTCCACACAAAGTTGACCATCAGATGTCCACATAATGTTGACCATCAGATGTCCACACAAAGTTGACCATCAGATGTCCACACAAAGTTGACCATCAGATGTCCACACAATGTTGACCATCAGATGTCCACACAAAGTTGACCATCAGATGTCCACACAAAGTTGACCATCAGATGTCCACACAAAGTTGACCATCAGATGTCCACACAAAGTTGACCATCAGATGTCCACACAAAGTTGACCATCAGATGTCCACACAAAGTTGACCATCAGATGTCCACACAAAGTTGACCATCAGATGTCCACACAAAGTTGACCATCAGATGTCCACACAATGTTGACCATCAGATGTCCACACAATGTTGACCATCAGATGTCCACACAAAGTTGACCATCAGATGTCCACACAATGTTGACCATCAGATGTCCACACAAAGTTGACCATCAGATGTCCACACAAAGTTGACCATCAGATGTCCACACAAAGTTGACCATCAGATGTCCACACAAAGTTGACCATCAGATGTCCACACAAAGTTGACCATCAGATGTCCACACAATGTTGACCATCAGATGTCCACACAATGTTGACCATCAGATGTCCACACAAAGTTGACCATCAGATGTCCACACAAAGTTGACCATCAGATGTCCACACAAAGTTGACCATCAGATGTCCACACAATGTTGACCATCAGATGTCCACACAAAGTTGACCATCAGATGTCCACACAAAGTTGACCATCAGATGTGCATACACTATCTAAAATGGAAGGAAACTGACCACTCCAAGTGTCTCTACTTTTAAATCTTTAACAGTTGTTGCACCATCCATCTTCTCTTCTTTCTCTAGTATCAACATAAAAAGATCTCCAGATAAGTTTCCCAACAAGTATCTTGAGCCATTGGCGTCCACTTTACCAAAACAATTGATTGGGCTCAACTGCAAACATGAAAAAAATGGATGAGACAAAAGAATCGCATGGAGAAAAGCCTAAAGGACAGACACCACTCGGTGGAAGGATCTTATTATAGAAGAGAGGGGGAAAGTAGGGAGGGCTAAAAACTGTAATCGAAGTTAGTACCAAACATAAAAAAAAATGTTGAAAAGTTTATTTTGTTGTAATTCAACTAGGATCCTCTTTTAATGCAGTGATTTTATTCAAACTTTCAAGATGTTTATCATGGATAATGCAAGAATATCTTATTTTCAATGTAATAAGGCAATAAAAAAATAAGTCATTAAAATACACTTAAATGATTACCGAATTCAATAACAGAGATAAAAAGAAAAAGGAGCAGCCTAACGCTGTAAACGTTGCTCTTGGATGATTGGTTAACATGCACATATATATATATATATATATATATATATATATATATATATATAAATAAACGAATAGGTGTGTGTGTTAGCCTTTTTTGCAATACCAAACATCCAATCAGATCCTGCACTGGGTGGTCAGTTAGATCCTGCACTGGTCTAACTGACCACCCAGTGCAGGATCTAACTGACCACCCAGTGCAGGATCTACCACTGACCACCCAGTACAGGATCTAACTGACCACCCAGTGCAGGATCTTCCACTGACCACCCAGTGCAGGATCTAACTGACCACCCAGTGCAGGATCTTCCACTGACCACCCAGTGCAGGATCTAACTGACCACCCAGTACAGGATCTACCACTGACCACCCAGTGCAGGATCTACCACTGACCACCCAGTGCAGGATCTACCACTGACCACCCAGTGCAGGATCTACCACTGACCACCCAGTACAGGATCTACCACTGACCACCCAGTGCAGGATCTAACTGACCACCCAGTGCAGGATCTAACTGACCACCCAGTGCAGGATCTACCACTGACCACCCAGTGCAGGATCTAACTGACCACCCAGTGCAGGATCTAACTGACCACCCAGTGCAGGATCTACCACTGACCACCCAGTGCAGGATCTACCACTGACCACCCAGTGCAGGATCTACCACTTGGTTTCTTGGTCATGGGATAAAAGACACAGAAAGTTCAGAAACCCTAACCCTAACCCAGAAAGACATACTTTCATTTAATATAAACAGATTTAAAGATCATTATCATAGAGGTGTTTTATATTTGTTTTTTTTGTAATTTTTAGTTACAATTAGATTTCAATTACTTATATTTTATTACTCTACCCCAAGAATTTTTGTTGCTCAAACTATGTATATTACCGTTTATTTATGTGCAGTATAGAAGTCTTGTTCTATTATTAGTGGTTCTTTCTCTATGATTTTTCTTAATTTAAGACATTTTTTTTTATGGCAATATAATTAGTGAAATTACATCTAATTTAAAAATAACTCTACCGTTAAATCAGACTTTATTTATAATGTAGTATATTGATATTGAAAAAAAAAATTACTCTAGTGACTAATTTTGAATTTTTTTTTTTAGAAATTAAAATAATTTTTTTATAGAAATTATACTAGAATTACATTTATATAATTTTTGGGGTTAATGTAATTATTTATTAAGACTTAACTATTATGGTATATTTTTTATCTCATACATAATTAACTCAGACCGATTTTATGTACAACTATATTGATTTTTATTTGATTTTTTAACGTAGTGGTTATTTTAAAACAAGTTTGAAAAAAAAAATTTTTGCCTGGCGGTAGGAGAAGTAAAATAATTTTGATGCACTGGACAGGGAATGATGAAGTAAAACATCAGGTTCAAATGTTCAGTTGCTTTAAATAAATAGAAATGTAGCCTTGAAAAAAGAAATATGCAAATTTTATATCGATTCTTGAAATATAAAATGTCTGATTTCCACTTAGCTTTATGGTGTTTTTTAGGCCACTATGAAGGCAATATTGAAAAAAAAAAATTGTGTATTAATGCCAACAAAAATTATCAGGGTGCTTCTCATCCAACTCAGTGGAATGCCATTGGCAAATTATGGAGGAAATGGACAGGCTATGAAAACATGTATTAAGTTGAGTTAGAGAGCGGCACGCACTGCTAATGAGACTGGTCAGATGTGCAAGTAAGGTGTGCACCTACATTCTTACCTTGATTTGGGCAGGTGCTATTGCTATGTAATTGTCTCCGTTGTGATAGGTTATTGATTCTTGTCCAATAATGACTGTTCCACCAAATGGCAGAGGGACTAAAAAAAGATCATTCAGTGTGTTATCAGATGGAACTAAAAAAAGATCATTCAGTGTGTTATCAAATGGAACTAAAAAAAGATCATTCAGTGTGTTATCAAATGGAACTAAAAAAAGATCATTCAGTGTGTTATCAAATGGAACTAAAAAAGATCATTCAGTGTGTTATCAAATGGAACTAAAAAAAGATCATTCAGTGTGTTATCAAATGGAACTAAAAGAAAAGATCATTTAGTGTCTTATCAAATGGAACTAAAAGAAAAGATCATTCAGTGTGTTATGAAATGGAACTAAAAGAAAAGATCATTCAGTGTGTTATCAAATGGAACTAAAAGAAAAGATCATTAAAATGGACAAAAAAATAAATAATTTGAAATGAACACAAGTTATTGCTTAAATGATGAGATTGGCTAGAGGTAACAGAAAGCCCATGAATGACCTGGAGATTGTAGAGGTAACAGAAAGCCCATGAATGACCTGGAGATTGTAGAGGTAACAGAAAGCCCATGAATGACCTGGAGATTGTAGAGGTAACAGAAAGCCCATGAATGACTTGGTGGAGATTGTGGAGGTAACAGAAAGCCCATGAATGACTTGGTGGAGATTGTAGAGGTAACAGAAAGCCCATGAATGACCTGGAGATTGTAGAGGTAACAGAAAGCCCATGAATGACTTGGTGGAGATTGTGGAGGTAACAGAAAGCCCATGAATGACTTGGTGGAGATTGTGGAGGTAACAGAAAGCCCATGAATGACTTGGTGGAGATCGTAGAGGTAACAGAAAGCCCATGAATGACCTAGATTGTAGAGGTAACAGATAGCCCATAAATGACTTGGTGGAGATTGTAGAGGTAACAGAAAGCCCATGAATGACCTGGTGGAGATTGTAGAGGTAACAGAAAGCCCATGAATGACTTGGTGGAGATTGTAGAGGTAACAGAAAGCCCATGAATGACCTGGTGGAGATTGTAGAGGTAACAGAAAGCCCATGAATGACTTGGTGGAGATTGTAGAGGTAACAGATAGCCCATAAATGACTTGGTGGAGATTGTAGAGGTAACAGAAAGCCCATGAATGACCTAGAGATTGTAGAGGTAACAGATAGCCCATAAATGACTTGGTGGAGATTGTAGAGGTAACAGAAAGCCCATGAATGACCTGGTGGAGATTGTAGAGGTAACAGAAAGCCCATGAATGACTTGGTGGAGATTGTAGAGGTAACAGAAAGCCCATGAATGACCTAGAGATTGTAGAGGTAACAGAAAGCCCATGAATGACCTAGAGATTGTAGAGGTAACAGAAAGCCCATGAATGACTTGGTAGAGATTGTAGAGGTAACAGAAAGCCCATGAATGACCTGGAGATTGTAGAGGTAACAGAAAGCCCATGAATGACTTGGTGGAGATTGTAGAGGTAACAGAAAGCCCATGAATGACTTGGTGGAGATTGTAGAGGTAACAGTAAGCCCATGAATGACCTGGAGATTGTAGAGGTAACAGAAAGCCCATGAATGACTTGGTGGAGATTGTAGAGGTAACAGAAAGCCCATGAATGACTTGGTGGAGATTGTGGAGGTAACAGATAGCCCATAAATGACTTGGTGGAGATTGTAGAGGTAACAGAAAGCCCATAAATGACTTGGTGGAGATTGTAGAGGTAACAGAAAGCCCATAAATGACTTGGTGGAGATTGTAGAGGTAACAGAAAGCCCATGAATGACCTGGAGATTGTATAGGTAACAGAAAGCCCATGAATGACCTGGTGGAGATTGTAGAGGTAACAGAAAGCCCATAAATGACTTGGTGGAGATTGTAGAGGTAACAGAAAGCCCATGAATGACTTGGTGGAGATTGTAGAGGTAACAGAAAGCCCATAAATGACTTGGTGGAGATTGTAGAGGTAACAGAAAGCCCATGAATGACCTGGAGATTGTAGAGGTAACAGAAAGCCCATGAATGACTTGGTGGAGATTGTGGAGGTAACAGATAGCCCATAAATGACTTGGTGGAGATTGTAGAGGTAACAGAAAGCCCATGAATGACCTGGTGGAGATAACAGAAAGCCCATGAATGACTTGGTGGAGATTGTGGAGGTAACAGAAAGCCCATGAATGACTTGGTGGAGATTGTAGAGGTAACAGTAAGCCCATGAATGACCTGGAGATTGTAGAGGTAACAGAAAGCCCATGAATGACCTGGAGATTGTAGAGGTAACAGAACGCCCATGAATGACTTGGTGGAGATTGTAGAGGTAACAGAAAGCCCATGAATGACTTGGTGGAGATTGTGGAGGTAACAGATAGCCCATAAATGACTTGGTGGAGATTGTAGAGGTAACAGAAAGCCCATAAATGACTTGGTGGAGATTGTAGAGGTAACAGAAAGCCCATAAATGACTTGGTGGAGATTGTAGAGGTAACAGTAAGCCCATAAATGACTTGGTGGAGATTGTAGAGGTAACAGTAAGCCCATGAATGACCTGGAGATTGTAGAGGTAACAGAAAGCCCATGAATGACCTGGTGGAGACTGTAGAGGTAACAGAAAGCCCATAAATGACTTGGTGGAGATTGTAGAGGTAACAGAAAGCCCATGAATGACTTGGTGGAGATTGTAGAGGTAACAGAAAGCCCATAAATGACTTGGTGGAGATTGTAGAGGTAACAGAAAGCCCAAGATGAAGAGAATATCCACCAAAGCTCTTAAAGAAAGTTGTGTGAGATAATTTAAAGTGGATGACAAGAGTACAAGGTGTTAAACTTACTTGGAATAAGCATTGATGCCATTGTTTCTACATTATCCTGCTTCCAAGGTCCTTTCTGAAAATCTTTTTCTCTTAAAGAAACTTCGTATGTCTTGACATGACGACCACTTTGATCCTGTAAGTTACAAAATTTAATGTACGTCAGATAACCCAAATGCACATGTTGGTCAACCTAAACATAAACATTGGTCAACCCAAATGTACATGTTGGTCAACCTAAATATAAACATTGGTCAACCTAAATATACAATTTGGTCAACCTAAATGTACAATTTGGTCAACCTAAATATACAATTTGGTCAACCTAAATATACATGTTGGTCAACCTAAATATACAATTTGGTTAACCTAAATATACAATTTGGTCAACCTAAATATACAATTTGGTCAACCTAAATATACATGTTGGTCAACCTAAATATACATGTTGGTCAACCTAAATATACATGTTGGTCAACCTAAATATATTTGTTGGTCAACATAAATATACATGTTGGTCAACCTAAATATACATGTTGGTTAACTAAAATGTACAAGCAAGTCAACCTGAAACATGACATTTCTATATTTTTCTAGGTGTCGTGGTAAGCAACAGTTTGTGTAGGATCTGCAAGTGACAGATCTAATTAAAAAATGTAAGGCCGCAGTCGGTCAGTTTTGGTCAAACACCATTGTGATGTCTATAGTTTTTTTTAATAGTCCATTTTGTCAAGAGCAATTCCTTTGATACCAGTCTGCTAACACCTGATCTAACTGAGGTGTGTCATTTACAGGGTTCGTACTGCTTTTTGAAAATGAAATTCCAGACTTTTTCCAGACATTTTCCAGACTTTTTTGGAAAAATTCCAGACTTTAGACAGATAATTTTTTAAAATGATGCACTATTTGTACTGTCATTATAATTACTTATACTAAATTGACATTTAATTTAGGCAATTGAGCTATATTCATAGTGAACTTTCTCTAGCCAAATTGACAAAAAAACATTTTTTCTAAGTTTGCCTACACCACCCTACCTAATTTTTTTACAATTAAAATAATTGATTAAAATGATGCAACTATTTTGTTTCCAACATTAGACTTATGTAATCTGTTCCTGATCTAATTGCTTATGTTTTCAATTTAACTATCATTAAAATAGTATTGCATAATAGTGAGAGTTAATTACTTTAAAGAATAATAATGTACTGTATTAATGTGGAGCAAAAAAAAAAATCACTGTGCTTATAGTAATAGCTGAGAAACGGGTCTGCAATTAAAAAAAAGTTGCCGGTATCCTTCTCCCCCCCCCCCTTCCCCCCACAGACACGACACGGCGAAGGGGTCACTGTGAGGTCATAGTAGTCTAGACTACAGTATGCCTGTTTAATACGTCATAACATGAACTGTGCTGTGACTTATACCCCCTCCCCCACCCAACGTACCAAGCAGTACCAACTACGCACTTGGGGTCACGGTGAGTTCACACAAGGGACCGATGTTACAAGGAGGGGCGGGGTAGTCTAACTTTAATCGCCAGCATTTGCAAAGATTTCAAAAACAGTTTAATGGAAGGTGAATTAAAATTAAAGGGGCCATCCATTTAAGACGTACACGTGGAGGGGGGAAGGGGTCGGAAGATTTTGTGATTACATTCTAAAACAAACATAAAACTTGTATCTTGCGAGTAGAAAGTAAAATTAAGACGACTGTGCTGGTGTTTTAAAAACCATCACAGCGTGTAAATAAAACACGGTATTTATATCTGCCCTAACATTATTGCAAGAGCGTGTCGTCACACTTTATAAAACCCTCCTCCCGACTTTCCGGAGTGTGACGTCATTTATGGACGACTCCTAAATAAAAATAGTACCTCTTTGTTAAGCTGAAGCAAACAGAAATAAAGGTATGAACCCAAGGAGGCCTTGCGACTTATTAATCTTATAAATGTTAATATTAATCCATAGAAAGTGAACGCGTGTGGACAGAGAGCGGGGGAGTGGGGAAGGGGGTCTAAAATCCGAAAAAATGGATGACGCCTTACAGCAGACTGATAAATTATATCTAAACTACCACTCACACTCTCCCATATCTTTTTGTTATTACTGCCTGCATGCAAACTCAAACGAGGAAAAAATAGCGGGTAAAATCGACAGCCTAACAATTCTGAGGGCGATCATTCTTTTATTAAACGACAATTGTAAGTACTTGTAACACATTCACACGGTCAGTCGTGCCACAAAATATCTCTTCCCTCCCTTCCCCTCTTCTCCCAATGACGTAGTAACTGAGCATTTTTTCCTGCGAACCAGCGAAAAAACTGCACACACAGTGAAAACCCGCGCTATAGCGCGGGGAAAAAAATTGGAGTAAATTTACTTAAAAATAGCAATTTTTTAAGTTGGAAAATATGGACTACGAAGTTTTGTTTCTAAAACTAGATTCCAGACTTTTTCCAGACTTTTAAAAAATCCTGCCCAAAAACTAGCGATTTTCCAGACTTTTTTAAGTCTTAAATTCACTTTTTGAAATTCAAGACTTTTTCCAGACTTTCCAGACTGCGTACGAACCCTGGATTTAGTAGTATATAGATATTGGTTTAAATAAAGAACTTACATGATGGATGAGGGCTACTGCTGATCTAACTGAGGTGTGTGATTTAGTAGTATATAGATATTGGTTTAAATAAAAAACTTACATGATGGATGAGGGCTACTGCTGATCTAACTGAGGTGTGTGATTTAGTAGTATATAGATATTGATTTAAATAAAGAACTTACATGATGGATGAGGGCTACTGCTGATCTAACTGAGGTGTGTGACTTAGTAGTATATAGATATTGATTTAAATAAAGAACTTACATGATGGATGAGCGCTACTGTTGATCTAACTGAGGTGTGTGATTTAGTAGTATATAGATATTGATTTAAATAAAGAACTTACATGATGGATGAGGGCTACTGCTGATCTAACTGAGGTGTGTGATTTAGTAGTATATAGATATTGATTTAAATAAAGAACTTACATGATGGATGAGGGCTACTGCTGATCTAACTGAGGTGTGTGATTTAGTAGTATATAGATATTGGTTTAAATAAAAAACTTACATGATGGATGAGAGCTACTGCTGATCTAACTGAGGTGTGTGATTTAGTAGTATATAGATATTGGTTTAAATAAAGAACTTACATGATGGATGAGGGCTACTGCTGATCTAACTGAGGTGTGTGATTTAGTAGTATATAGATATTGGTTTAAATAAAGAACTTACATGATGGATGAGGGCTACTGCTGATCTAACTGAGGTGTGTGATTTAGTAGTATATAGATATTGGTTTAAATAAAGAACTTACATGATGGATGAGGGCTACTGCTGATCTAACTGAGGTGTGTGATTTAGTAGTATATAGATATTGGTTTAAATAAAGAACTTACATGATGGATGAGGGCTACTGCTGATCTAACTGAGGTGTGTGATTTAGTAGTATATAGATATTGGTTTAAATAAAGAACTTACATGATGGATGAGGGCTACTGCTGATCTAACTGAGGTGTGTGATTTAGTAGTATATAGATATTGGTTTAAATAAAGAACTTACATGATGGATGAGGGCTACTGCTGATCTAACTGAGGTGTGTGATTTAGTAGTATATAGATATTGGTTTAAATAAAGAACTTACATGATGGATGAGGGCTACTGCTGATCTAACTGAGGTGTGTGATTTAGTAGTATATAGATATTGGTTTAAATAAAGAACTTACATGATGGATGAGGGCTACTGCTGATCTAACTGAGGTGTGTGATTTAGTAGTATATAGATATTGATTTAAATAAAGAACTTACATGATGGATGAGGGCTACTGCTGATCTAACTGAGGTGTGTGATTTAGTAGTATATAGATATTGATTTAAATAAAGAACTTACATGATGGATGAGGGCTACTGCTGATCTAACTGAGGTGTGTGATTTAGTAGTATATAGATATTGGTTTAAATAAAGAACTTACATGATGGATGAGGGCTACTGTGGGAGTCTGACAGCCATAGAGAAACGCCATGTCTATAACATTCAGTTCCTCCATCCTGCAAGGTCAAGGTTAGATCTACAGATCTTACATATTAAGGTGTCCTACTCTTTTTATAAGCTTTTATGTCATTTAGTAGCTTTGTGAAAAATCTTAGACTTTTGACCAACTTTTAATGCAGCAAATTCATTCTTTTCTAACTTCCCAGAAACATTTGTCTTTCTTTAATGGCAATGCAAGAATATCTCATTCTTAATATAATTTATATGAAAAAAAGTAATTAATATAACGATTAGTAAAAAAAAGGTAGCAGTATTTAAAAACCTAAAACAGAATCAGTAAAAAAAAAGCAGTATTTAAAAACCTAAGACAGAATCAGTAAAAAAAAAAGGAAGCTATATTAGAAAACCTGATACTGAAAGCTTTGAGCTCTCTATTTTCCTTATCCAGGGGTATAACTTTGAAAAGTCCATCATATAAACGTAGACCAATAACACGGCATTCTGGATCAATAATGCCTAATATGCCAGTCTCTGAGACACGTCCAATACGATCCTAAAAAAAATATTTACAAAAACAAAAAGGTAGTTTAAAAAAGAAGAATCTAAAATAATAAAGCCACTAAACTGGACATTCCCATGTGTGAGAACTCAACTAATAAAGCCACTAAACTGGACATTCCCATGTGTGAGAACTCAACTAATAAAGCCACTAAACCTGGACATTCCCATGTGTGAGAACTCAACTAATAAAGCCACTAAACTGGACATTCCTATGTGTGAGAACTCAACTAATAAAGCCACTAAACCTGGACATTCCCATGGGCTCTAGTGATGATTTCAATGTTTTCTCCTTCAACTTGACACTCTAGGATCATTGCATTGTAACGATGTGTCAACAAAAACATCAGATCTTTGGTTTCCCCCTGAGAAAAAAGGACATAGTTAATACATATACCAACTAGAATTCTAGAACCAGGCAAGTGTAGACTACTGACCGGTGGCCTGAAGAGCTCTAGAACTGCGATCCTGCCATAGATCATCATTTCCTTGACAGGCCTCAAGCCTTCAGGTGTGACAACATAGATCTCGACACGAGTGTTCTTTGCTATAACCAGGTTCAAATCAGTAGGAGATGTCAAATTGCCTGCAAAAACAAAAGTCAAATCAGTAGGAGATGTCAAATTGCCTGCAAAAACCAAAGTCAAATCAGTAGGAGATGTCAAATTGCCTGCAAAAACAAAAGTCAAATCAGTAGGAGATGTCAAATTGCCTGCAAAAACCAAAGTCAAATCAGTAGGAGATGTCAAATTGCCTGCAAAAACAAAAGTCAAATCAGTAGGAGATGTCAAATTGCCTGCAAAAACAAAAGTCAAATCAGTAGGAGATGTCAAATTGCCTGCAAAAACAAAAGTCAAATCAGTAGGAGATGTCAAATTGCCTGCAAAAACAAAAGTCAAATCAGTAGGAGATGTCAAATTGCCTGCAAAAACCAAAGTCAAATCAGTAGGAGATGTCAAATTGCCTGCAAAAACAAAAGTCAAATCAGTAGGAGATGTCAAATTGCCTGCAAAAACAAAAGTCAAATCAGTAGGAGATGTCAAATTGCCTGCAAAAACAAAAGTCAAATCAGTAGGAGATGTCAAATTGCCTGCAAAAACAAAAGTCAAATCAGTAGGAGATGTCAAATTGCCTGCAAAAACAAAAGTCAAATCAGTAGGAGATGTCAAATTGCCTGCAAAAACAAAAGTCAAATCAGTAGGAGATGTCAAATTGCCTGCAAAAACCAAAGTCTAATCAGAAGGAGATGTCAAATTGCCTGCAAAAACAAAAGTCAAATCAGTAGGAGATGTCAAATTGCCTGCAAAAACCAAAGTCTAATCAGAAGGAGATGTCAAATTGCCTGCAAAAACAAAAGTCAAATCAGTAGGAGATGTCAAATTGCCTGCAAAAACAAAAGTCAAATCAGTAGGAGATGTCAAATTGCCTGCAAAAACAAAAGTCAAATCAGTAGGAGATGTCAAATTGCCTGCAAAAACAAAAGTCAAATCAGTAGGAGATGTCAAATTGCCTGCAAATACAAAAGTCAAATCAGTAGGAGATGTCAAATTGCCTGCAAAAACAAAAGTCAAATCAGTAGGAGATGTCAAATTGCCTGCAAAAACAAGTCTAATCAGTAGGAGATGTCGAAAATTGCCTGCAAAAACAAAAGTCTAATCAGTAGGAGATGTCAAATTGCCTGCAAAAACCAGAGTCAAATCAGTATGGTTGCAAAGTGAAAATATTGGATACCAGAGTACACCAATGACACATGCTGGTAAACCATCAATTTGTACTCAAAGATACAGCATACAAAAAGCAAAGCTATTGTATTGGCACTTTCTACAACTAATAGAGTAAACCAAAACTAATAGAGTAAACCACAACTGGTAGAGTAAACCACAACTGGTAGAGTAAACCACAACTGGCAGAGTAAACCACAACTGGTAGAGTAAACCACAACTGGTAGAGTAAACCACAACTGGTAGAGTAAACCACAACTGGCAGAGTAAACTACAACTGGCAGAGTAAACCACAACTGGTAGAGTAAACCAAAACTGGCAGAGTAAACCAAAACTGGCAGAGTAAACCACAACTGGTAGAGTAAACCACAACTGGTAGAGTAAACCAAACACAAAATTCTAATCATGGAATAGAGAATCCACAATGTGCACAGTGCAAAGTTGTTCTCAGTCATGAGTCTATGAAAGAAACATGCAAACTAAAATGTTATTTTGAGACAAGTCATTTGGAACACACCAAAAAAGATATGGAGTTCTTTCATGCATTAAGCTAGTTGCAAACGCCAGAGAATAGACCAAACAGAAAGTTTTCACCAAGGATACACAGCATTAGTGCAAGCATCATATGAAGTCGCATTAGAAATTGTGTATAGCAGACATGCCCGTAGATGTTAAAGAATTTAAAACCCATAAAGCATGCGCCACGTGGCCTTAACATGTTATAAGTCATGTAACAGCAAAGCCACGACCGTTTGTAAAAAGTGTATTAAAAAAATCAAATAAAATTTTTATTTTATGCTTAGAAAGGTGTTTCCATCGTTTAAATTATATTTGGTAGCGTTGCTTGTATTAAAAATTTGTTATTTTCTGCTCACGTAAATTGTACTAGTTTTAAACCTCAAAGTCGGCTCGAAAAGGAAATGGGCAGATGGTATTGTTCTTTCATTTAAAACATGGCTATTTCCTTCAAACATAAAATGACTATCCCAATTACAGCGGATTGTGTAGGGCTTTAAAATCGCTATAATTTATGGTAATATGAAAATGAAATGGGTGAAGAAATGGCCTAAATTCAGGAAGTCTGATCATTACTGACTGGGTCTTGCGGGATATCGACAAAGTTCGTCGGGTGCTGTGAATCGAAAAGCCTAATAAACTAATTATTAGGTCTAGGTCATGGGTTCCCAACCTGGGGGTCGAGACCCCCTTGGGGGTTGCGAAGGTCTTTCTGGGGGGTAGTCAACTGGTAGACTAAACTTTAGCAATGAATAAAAAACATAAATATTTAGAAAAATATTTGCCAAGCAAAAAAACCTCTCATACAAAGGAGAAAATCTCATCAAACCATGTATGCTGAAGATGGTAAAATTAATTCTTGGGGATTCCAGTGCAGTAAAGATGCAACAAATATCTCTGTCTAATAATACAATGCAGCGGCTTATGTTAAAAGACAAATTTAGAATGAAATCAAGCTTTCACCATTGTTTGATTTTCAAGTTGACGAATCGACAGACGTCGATCTCTTACTTGGACCTGAATTTATATATTAGAGTTTATTAGAAATCTATATGTAGATTCTAAAGTGTACTGAATCATTTCCCAATACCTATTACTATTTATTAGCCATGCTCACTAACTTGAAAGTGTCTCTGGTTGCTAACAACAACATGGCGTCCTAACCGGACGCTTAGTTTCGGTCATTTTTCTTGTCTGCTCAAGTGACTTTCTAGGAATTAGTTTTAAAAATGTTTACCTCATAAAAAATGATCTTTTCACATAATATAATGTAAACAAACTAAAGATGGCAGTGCTAAATATGCCAAAGAAACACTACATTCGTAGATCTTTTTAAATATTAGTTACTACGATGTAGAACGGTGCACGAAAGTACATCAATATTAGATTTAGCAGTCTGTGTGAAAATAAATCGAATATTAAATGCGCTAATTTTTCTTAAAATTCTTAATAATTTTTCACTCACAAGTGATCAACGTTAATGTGATAGGCGTAGCCTAACATTCAATCTTTAAATAGATCTAGACACCAGATACAAATATTAAGTATTAAAGCTCCGCCTGGATATGTCTGGCTTCGGACGGGCGATGTTTCTCTCGTTGACAAAACAACGCGAGCGAGCCGTCACTACGCACATCCTATGAGTGGCGATGTTTGGAATGCATTTCTCGCTCACATGTGATGAAATTTAATGCAACGACAGTTTTTAAAATAAAAACAGATATTTTATTATGCCTATATACTTTTTTTAAATATTTAAAACTCAGCCTGGACAAAGCTTCCATGCTGGATAAGGGAGGAGGGTTAGATACCGCCGTTAACTCAATCTATTATTATTAGGCCTAGGCCCTAATTGTCCTAATTAAACATTGCTATTTACACTGATTAATCAAGACTGAATAAAACGTGAAAATGAATACCTTTAAAAAGTTTAGATCTATATATTTTTAAACATTTATACGTGATTATTTTTGGTTCATTCATTTGGCGTTTACTAAAAATACAGTAGGCCTAAATAGATTACATAACCAAGATACGAGTATCCTTTCAATTTCGTTTTATTGCAGCATACCTCCACTTCCCCCTCCCCACACATGATCCTTACGAACATCCTAGGTCGTTTTCAGGTCAACTTTAGGAATCAGATCTACTGGTTGTCATGGAAAAATCTTTCACAGCTAAAGTCTGCTGGCTAAAGCTGTATGGCCCATGGCACCAATAATTAAAATTATGTATTTTAGCTCATAATGAGCTAAAATCATCAAATGTAGTGCCTGGTTGTGGTTAGTTAGAGAAATATCTCTAGCTTTTAATGGTATTGGTTAAAAAAATAAATAGATCTAATCTAGATCTAGGCCTAATTAAAATTAAGATTTAGTCAGTGAGTCTCGCTAGTACGTACAGTCAAGTAGTCAGTAGTCACCTTCTCGAAGTTTAGTTAAATCTAGTTACTAAGTTAGCCTAATCTAACAGTTATAATTAATATGCATATTAGTTTAATGCAATCACCAATTAAATCTAGATCTAGGTCCTACCTGTAACTCCATTTGTCACTGAAGTTGGCTTGTGCGCCGTGACCACATAATTAAAAGCCATGTTTTAAAATTGAAACCATTTAGTTCTTGCTAGTTTTAATTTTTAAACGATCACTCTAATTGTCGAAAACATACACAACGAATGTTTAATAAAAAAAACCAATACTATTCGATGTTGTGTTAAAAAGGAGGGAAACAATATAAAGCGGAGCCAAGAGCTCCAGCGCTGGAGCTGATTGTTATTGCGACTCCTCAGTGCTATAGATCTAGATTCTAGATCTAGTAACTTAAACAACCAAAGGATATAATAAAACTATTTTTTTTACCCTATAGGACGAGAGGCTTTCGGCAGATTGAGCACTATTTATAGAACGAACGAATATCCCAAACTACTTATAACCGCTGAATTTTCCCCGTGTAAAACAAATATATCATTTGTGTCAATTGTAAACACACACACACACATATATATATATATATATATATATATATATATATATATATATATATACATATATATATATATATATATATATATATATATATATATATATATATATATATATATATATATATATATATATATAGGTATAATATACATTTTCATCAATTCCTATTACAATTTATTTAAACCGTTTTCAAAAACGCGATTTTGCTGCTAAAACTCGTTTTCTAACATTGCGTAATTTTGTGACGGTGTGCGATGAGGGGGAGGGGGGGGGGGGTTTCAGATGGTGCGACGTCACATTTTTTGCATTATAAAAAAGCAATGTTAGACAACGAATTTTAGACGTTATTTTGCGTTTTCGAAAACTGTTTTAATAAATTGTAATCGGAATTGATTAAAATACTCTATTTTGACAGAGTTCAGACAAGATTTTGGAAAAAAATATCGATGTTTCAAAAAAAAATTCAACTGCAATTTTGAGGGGGGGGTGTAGGCTGATCTCGAGGTGTGACGTCATTTTAGGGGGGGTCTGGCTTTTTGTGAGGATGTGTGACGGAGGGGAGGGGGGAAGGTAAAAATCGTCAAAAAATCGTGACGTCATTTATGGATGATCCCTTAGCATACAAAAATTAAATTGTATAAATGGAGTCCTGATTCAAAGACTGAATGAGAATAATCAAGGATTTTTCAGTTTTGTTCTCTCATGTTTTTGTCGTAGTTAGTAAGTTAGGACAACCCTATAAAATATTAAAAATGAGGCGTAAAGTGAGCTACAAAACAAAACAATAAATAATCAATATTAAAATAATGGCCTATAAATATAGTATTAATAATAATATTAAAAATAATAATAGGTTATAGACCTAGAGCTTAAAATAAAATGTTCTAGATCTAGAATTTAAATCTTATAAAGTTGTTTTATATAACTTTATGATCAAGTTACTGCAAAGCTTAAAAGCTAGGCCTTCCTTGTCCCTTTTTAGAAGTCTGACGTCATTTACATTTTAGAATCTAGAAATCTAATCTAGATCTAGATCTAGATCTAGTATTTACATTTAGAAATCTACTACAAATTACTGAAATTAGGCTTACAATTTTCTTTTACACGAGTCAATACAGTAATACAGTCACGGTGAATTTTAGGCTAATTTTATACATTTGTTGTAGAATACAAAATAAATTATAAATAAAGGCCATATTCATATCTAGACTCTATTCAAGTAATATTTTGAAGTATATTCTAGACTCCTAGAGTAGTAACAAACAGTAACAGTACTCTTAACTCTAAGTTACTGTGCAGAGTATTGGTGTAAGACTGTAAGTGTAAGACAGTGTGAGTGTAGTACTGTAGAGTAAGTAAGACACTTGTTTAAACTTAAACTACTTAAAGTGTAGTCAAGTCAGTAGTCAAGAGACCTGTTCACAAAATGCAACAACAGGAGATGGAGAGCAGTGGAGAGGGATTAATGATCTAGAATTATTATCTAGAATCTTTTCTCAGTCACAAGTTTAGTAATAACTTCAATAAGGTGCTGAAAAGAATCTTCCTTGAAGTCTAGTAGGTAAAATCACAATATAGCGTCGTAAATTATCCGGTGATTTTTTGTTGAGTTTCGTAAACATTCGTTACTGTAAACCAAATTTTATTTGACCATTGAAATAAAAATAAAGAAGTCATGTGCATTAAATTAATGTTTTAACTTTATTTAAAGTTTGACAGAAAATTAGTAACAATTAGATTTAGTAGGCCTAAATAATAAATATTATTAATAAAGTCGAGTGTAGTAATTAATGTTTTTTTTTAAGAAACAGAAGAAAAACTTGCAGAAGATTTGCGACAACTAGATCTAGATCTAGTAAAATAAGACAATTAGATTTACTAAAGTTAAAGTTAAAAGTAGTAAGAAGAAATAGAACAATGTTTAGTAGCAGCAAAAATTAGCATATACACTTAAAATAATTAGAAATACAAAATAATTAGCAAAACAGTATTTAAAATGCAACTAAAACAATCCATGCACATTTTTAAACTTTAAGTATTAAAAATAATATGGCGGCAAATAAATGATGGTTTACAGTATTTTCTGTGGTTTCCGGAACGGCTCGGCAGACTACGCAATGGTTTTACTGTTTTGTACTGCTGTACAATTCCAGAATAATAACTGACGCTATATCGTGATTTTACCATCTAGTATATAGTATAGTTTAGAGTATATATATAATATATAGTACTATATAGTATAGTAAGTAGAGAGATTAAGACAATTAAGAGTTAAGACTAATTAAGAGATATCTGACATCTGTTTTTCGATAAAGCAGGTCATGCACTGACCACAAATACATTGCAGGCTACGCTGTACATCATTAATGAACATTCCCTTCTATATATGACAGAGAGTTCAAATTTAATACAACAAAATACAGAGTGGTACCTCGAGATACAAGTTTAATTACCTCTGCAATGTTGATTTAGATCTATATGTCTTATTGCTTGTACCTTAAAGCAGTTTTCTCCATTGAATTAAATTGAAATTTTGACTTTGAAATACAATAATAAGAAAAGTATATTTGTACATGACAAATATTATTTAATAATATTTAATAACAAAAAGTATAATGCAAAGAAACAAACTGGTTTTAGGCTATAAAGATTAAAAAATCATTCACATTGAACTTACATCAGATGCTGGTGGTAGTGTAAGCCCAGTGTAGGGTGGGGGAGATATGTGGAGGAGCTTCACTTTACTCACTCACTTTTAATACTAAATTTAGATGATTTTAGATACAGATGACCGATAATAGACTCTTCCATAAAATAGGTGTGTTGGGTTGTTAGTAGTATTGTAATCTCAACTAATTTTTATGGTTAGAAGTTAGGGTTAGGCGTATCGTAGGACCAGGGTTGGGGTTAGGGTTAGGGACAGGGTTAGCATTGACATTAGCCAGTAATGTGTGTATTTAGTTAACTACCAGTAACCTAACACCCCTTTTTTAAAGAAGATTCCATTATCTGACACTGGTATAAAAAGTGCCACTTTAATTCACTTACTCGTTTTGTTCTTAATGCTACACTTTATCCTATTCTTAACCAAACTTTTTGAGGTTGTTGTTGTGGCTGTGTTTAGGGTTAGGTTAAAAGTCAGGGTTGTATATATGTTAGTATGTGGGAGGTAGAATTGTATTAGACTTCATTTTGGAAAATAAACACATGAGTTACTGTCCTTTACAGATAAGTTTTTTACGAAGGCCAGGACAGAAGCTGGGGGGGGGGGGGGGGGGGGACAGCTAGTATTTATATCTATCATTAGAATTAGAACTGGGCGGGACAGCTAGTATTTATATCTATCATTAGAACTGGGTGGGACAGCTAGTATTTATATCTATCATTAGAATTAGAACTGGGTGGGACAGCTAGTATTTATATCTATCATTAGAATTAGAACTGGGCGGGACAGCTAGTATTTATATCTATCATTATAATTAGAACTGGGCGGGACAGCTAGTATTTATATCTATCATTAGAACTGGGTGGGACAGCTAGTATTTATATCTATCATTAGAACTGGGTGGGACAGCTAGTATTTATATCTATCATTAGAATTAGAACTGGGTGGGACAGCTAGTATTTATATCTATCATTAGAATTAGAACTGGGCGGGACAGCTAGTATTTATATCTATCATTAGAATTAGAACTGGGCGGGACAGCTAGTATTTATATCTATCATTAGAATTAGAACTGGGTGGGACAGCTAGTATTTATATCTATCATTAGAATTAGAACTGGGTGGGACAGCTAGTATTTATATCTATCATTAGAACTGGGTGGGACAGCTAGTATTTATATCTATCATTAGAACTGGGTGGGACAGCTAGTATTTATATCTATCATTAGAATTAGAACTGGGCGGGACAGCTAGTTTTTATATCTATCATTAGAACTGGGTGGGACAGCTAGTATTTATATCTATCATTAGAATTAGAACTGGGTGGGACTGCTAGTATTTATATCTATCATTAGAATTAGAACTGGGCGGGACAGCTAGTATTTATATCTATCATTAGAACTGGGTGGGACAGCTAGTATTTATATCTATCATTAGAATTAGAACTGGGTGGGACTGCTAGTATTTATATCTATCATTAGAATTAGAACTGGGCGGGACAGCTAGTATTTATATCTATCATTAGAACTGGGTGGGACAGCTAGTATTTATATCTATCATTAGAATTAGAATTTGAACGCTTTGCACCTTTCAGTCTGACCTGTGCCCATGATAACTAGCAGTAGTATAATTAAATAGCACCAAATATTTAAATGCTTTTGATGAAGTGTACTGTTATAAGTAGAGCATGTTAAATTTCTGATTAAACTCAAAAGAATACTAAATATGAGTTTCCTCTCTTTCAGATGCATCTCAACATTGGAGATTACGTTAAAGTCATCTATGATTTTGTTGCTGAAGCTGTGACAGACCTCTCTATACATTGTGGTGATATTGTCCAGATTACAGGTATACTAGATGAGAACTGGGCTTTAGGGGAAAAAATTGCTCAGGAAAATTGCAGAGGAAATTTTCCCCAACTTTTTGTGGAACCTTTGATACTTCCTACTGTTCTCACAGGCCAGAAAATCTTCTTGGCTCTTGAGGATTTCCCTGCTGAACAAGATGAAGATTTAGATATCAGTAAAGGTTAGAATACTACCACTTACATTCATTTGGCATGAATTAACGTTGTCTATTTAAAGGTTAGAATACTACCACTTACATTCATTTGGCATGTATTAACGTTGTCTATTTAAAAGTTAGAATACTACCATTTACATTCATTTGGCATGTATTAACGTTGTCTATTTAAAGGTTAGAATACTACCACTTACATTCATTTGGCATGTATTAACGTTGTCCATTTAAAGGTTAGAATACTACCACTTACATTCATTTGGCATGTATTAACGTTGTCCATTTAAAGGTTAGAATACTACCACTTACATTCATTTGGCATGTATTAACGTTGTCTATTTAAAGGTTAGAATACTACCATTTACATTCATTTGGCATGTATTAACGTTGTCTATTTAAAGGTTAGAATACTACCACTTACATTCATTTGGCATGTATTAACGTTGTCCATTTAAAGGTTAGAATACTACCACTTATATTCATGTGGCATGTATTAACGTTGTCTATTTAAAGGTTAGAATACTACCACTTACATTCATTTGGCATGTATTAACATTGTCTATTTAAAGGTTAGAATACTACCACTTACATTCATTTGGCATGTATTAATGTTGTCTGTTTAAAGGTTAGAATACTACCACTTACTCTCATGTGGCATGTATTAACGTTGTCCATTTAAAGGTTAGAATACTACCATTTACTCTCATGTGGCATGTATTAACGTTGTCTATTTAAAGGTTAGAATACTACCACTTACTCTCATGTGGCATGTATTAACGTTGTCCATTTAAAGGTTAGAATACTACCACTTATATTCATGTGGCATGTATTAACGTTGTCCATTTAAAGGTTAGAATACTACCATTTACTCTCATGTGGCATGTATTAACGTTGTCCATTTAAAGGTTAGAATACTACCACTTACTCTCATGTGGCATGTATTAACGTTGTCCATTTAAAGGTTAGAATACTACCACTTACTCTCATTTGGCATGTATTAACGTTGTCCATTTAAAGGTTAGAATACTACCACTTACTCTCATTTGGCATGTATTAACGTTGTCCATTTAAAGGTTAGAATACTACCACTTACTCTCATGTGGCATGTATTAACGTTGTCCATTTAAAGGTCAGAATACTACCATTTACTCTCATGTGGCATGTATTAACGTTGTCCATTTAAAGGTTAGAATACTACCACTTATATTCATTTGGCATGTATTAACGTTGTCCATTTAAAGGTTAGAATACTACCACTTACATTCATTTGGCATGTATTAACGTTGTCTATTTAAAGGTTAGAATACTACCATTTACATTCATTTGGCATGTATTAACGTTGTCTATTTAAAGGTTAGAATACTACCACTTACATTCATTTGGCATGTATTAACGTTGTCCATTTAAAGGTTAGAATACTACCACTTATATTCATGTGGCATGTATTAACGTTGTCTATTTAAAGGTTAGAATACTACCACTTACATTCATTTGGCATGTATTAACATTGTCTATTTAAAGGTTAGAATACTACCACTTACATTCATTTGGCATGTATTAATGTTGTCTGTTTAAAGGTTAGAATACTACCACTTACTCTCATGTGGCATGTATTAACGTTGTCCATTTAAAGGTTAGAATACTACCATTTACTCTCATGTGGCATGTATTAACGTTGTCTATTTAAAGGTTAGAATACTACCACTTACTCTCATGTGGCATGTATTAACGTTGTCCATTTAAAGGTTAGAATACTACCACTTATATTCATGTGGCATGTATTAACGTTGTCCATTTAAAGGTTAGAATACTACCATTTACTCTCATGTGGCATGTATTAACGTTGTCCATTTAAAGGTTAGAATACTACCACTTACTCTCATGTGGCATGTATTAACGTTGTCCATTTAAAGGTTAGAATACTACCACTTACTCTCATTTGGCATGTATTAACGTTGTCCATTTAAAGGTTAGAATACTACCACTTACTCTCATTTGGCATGTATTAACGTTGTCCATTTAAAGGTTAGAATACTACCACTTACTCTCATGTGGCATGTATTAACGTTGTCCATTTAAAGGTCAGAATACTACCATTTACTCTCATGTGGCATGTATTAACGTTGTCCATTTAAAGGTTAGAATACTACCACTTACTATCATGTGGCATGTATTAACGTTGTCCATTTAAAGGTTAGAATACTACCACTTACTCTCATTTGGCATGTATTAACGTTGTCCATTTAAAGGTTAGAATACTACCATTTACTCTCATGTGGCATGTATTAACGTTGTCTATTTAAAGGTTAGAATACTACCACTTACATTCATTTGGCATGTATTAACATTGTCTATTTAAAGGTTAGAATACTACCATTTACTCTCATGTGGCATGTATTAACATTGTCTATTTAAAAGTTAGAATACTACCATTTACATTCATTTGGCATGTATTAACGTTGTCTATTTAAAGGTTAGAATACTACCACTTACATTCATTTGGCATGTATTAAAATTGTCTATTTAAAGGTTAGAATACTACCATTTACTCTCATGTGGCATGTATTAACGTTGTCCATTTAAAGGTTAGAATACTACCACTTACTCTCATGTGGCATGTATTAATGTTGTCCATTTAAAGGTCAGAATACTACCACTTACATTCATTTGGCATGTATTAACGTTGTCCATTTAAAGGTTAGAATACTACCATTTACTCTCATGTGGCATGTATTAACGTTGTCCATTTAAAGGTTAGAATACTACCACTTACATTCATTTGGTATGTATTAACGTTGTCCATTTAAAGGTTAGAATACTACCACTTACATTCATTTGGCATGTATTAACATTGTCCATTTAAAGGTTAGAATACTACCACTTACATTCATTTGGCATGTATTAATGTTGTCTGTTTAAAGGTTAGAATACTACCATTTACTCTCATGTGGCATGTATTAACGTTGTCCATTTAAAGGTCAGAATACTACCACTTACTCTCATGTGGCATGTATTAACGTTGTCCATTTAAAGGTCAGAATACTACCACTTACTCTCATGTGGCATGTATTAACGTTGTCCATTTAAAGGTTAGAATACTACCACTTACTCTCATTTGGCATTTATTAACGTTGTCCATTAACGACATCATTCAAAAAGGGGAGTAACTATTGTAAGGAGAAGTCCTTATGTGACATAACAATCTTTTTATATTTCTTGAAATAAAAATGATTTTTTTAAAAAAAGTTAATTTTTATCAGTATTATGTTAATTTGGGGGGGAGGGGGGGGGGTAGATCTAGCTATCTGTGAACCAGAGAGAAAGGTGGCGGGGGGGGGGGTGTAGATCTAGCTGTCTGTGAACCAGTGGGAAAGGTGGCGGGGGGGGTAGATCTAGCTGTCTGTGAACCAGTCTGAAAGGTGGCGGGGGGGGGGGGGGGGGGTAGATCTAGCTGTCTGTGAACCAGTCTGAAAGGTGGCGGGGGGGGGGTAGATCTAGCTGTCTGTGAACCAGTGGGAAAGGTGGAGGGGGGGGGTAGATCTAGCTGTCTGTGAACCAGTCTGAAAGGTGGCGGGGGGGGGGGGTAGATCTAGCTGTCTGTGAACCAGTCTGAAAGGTGGCGGGGGGGGGGTAGATCTAGCTGTCTGTGAACCAGTGGGAAAGGTGGAGGGGGGGGGGGGGGTAGATCTAGCTGTCTGTGAACCAGTGGGAAAGGTGGAGGGGGGGGGGTAGATCTAGCTGTCTGTGAACCAGTGGGAAAGGTGGCGGGGGGGGGGGGGGTAGATCTAGCTGTCTGTGAACCAGTGGGAAAGGTGGAGGGGGGGGGGGGTAGATCTAGCTGTCTGTGAACCAGTGGGAAAGGTGGAGGGGGGGGTAGATCTAGCTGTCTGTGAACCAGTGGGAAAGGTGGAGGGGGGGGGGGGGGTAGATCTAGCTGTCTGTGAACCAGTGGGAAAGGTGGAGGGGGGGGGGTAGATCTAGCTGTCTGTGAACCAGTGGGAAAGGTGGAGGGGGGGGGTAGATCTAGCTGTCTGTGAACCAGTGGGAAAGGTGGAGGGGGGGGGTAGATCTAGCTGTCTGTGAACCAGTGGGAAAGGTGGAGGGGGGGGGGGGTAGATCTAGCTGTCTGTGAACCAGTGGGAAAGGTGGAGGGGGGGGGGGGGTAGATCTAGCTGTCTGTGAACCAGTGGGAAAGGTGGAGGGGGGGGGGTAGATCTAGCTGTCTGTGAACCAGTGGGAAAGGTGGAGGGGGGGGGTAGATCTAGCTGTCTGTGAACCAGTGGGAAAGGTGGAGGGGGGGGGGGGGTAGATCTAGCTGTCTGTGAACCAGTGGGAAAGGTGGCGGGGGGGGGGGGGGTAGATCTAGCTGTCTGTGAACCAGTGGGAAAGGTGGAGGGGGGGGGTAGATCTAGCTGTCTGTGAACCAGTGGGAAAGGTGGAGGGGGGGGGGGGTAGATCTAGCTGTCTGTGAACCAGTGGGAAAGGTGGAGGGGGGGGGGGTAGATCTAGCTGTCTGTGAACCAGTGGGAAAGGTGGCGGGGGGGGGGGGGGGGGTAGATCTAGCTGTCTGTGAACCAGTGGGAAAGGTGGCGGGGGGGGGGGGGGGGTAGATCTAGCTGTCTGTGAACCAGTGGGAAAGGTGGAGGGGGGGGTAGATCTAGCTGTCTGTGAACCAGTGGGAAAGGTGGAGGGGGGGGGTAGATCTAGCTGTCTGTGAACCAGTCTGAAAGGTGGCGGGGGGGGGGGGTAGATCTAGCTGTCTGTGAACCAGTGGGAAAGGTGGAGGGGGGGGGGGTAGATCTAGCTGTCTGTGAACCAGTGGGAAAGGTGGAGGGGGGGGGGGTAGATCTAGCTGTCTGTGAACCAGTGGGAAAGGTGGAGGGGGGGGGTAGATCTAGCTGTCTGTGAACCAGTGGGAAAGGTGGAGGGGGGGGGTAGATCTAGCTGTCTGTGAACCAGTGGGAAAGGTGGAGGGGGGGGGTAGATCTAGCTGTCTGTGAACCAGTGGGAAAGGTGGCGGGGGGGGGGGTAGATCTAGCTGTCTGTGAACCAGTGGGAAAGGTGGAGGGGGGGGGGTAGATCTAGCTGTCTGTGAACCAGTGGGAAAGGTGGAGGGGGGGGGGTAGATCTAGCTGTCTGTGAACCAGAAAGGTGGAGGGGGGGGGTAGATCTAGCTGTCTGTGAACCAGTGGGAAAGGTGGAGGGGGGGGGTAGATCTAGCTGTCTGTGAACCAGAAAGGTGGAGGGGGGGGGTAGATCTAGCTGTCTGTGAACCAGTGGGAAAGGTGGAGGGGGGGGGGTAGATCTAGCTGTCTGTGAACCAGTGGGAAAGGTGGAGGGGGGGGGGGGGGTAGATCTAGCTGTCTGTGAACCAGTGGGAAAGGTGGAGGGGGGGGGGGGGTAGATCTAGCTGTCTGTGAACCAGTCTGAAAGGTGGCGGGGGGGGGGGTAGATCTAGCTGTCTGTGAACCAGTGGGAAAGGTGGAGGGGGGGGGGGGGGTAGATCTAGCTGTCTGTGAACCAGTGGGAAAGGTGGAGGGGGGGGGGTAGATCTAGCTGTCTGTGAACCAGTCTGAAAGGTGGAGGGGGGGGGGGTAGATCTAGCTGTCTGTGAACCAGTGGGAAAGGTGGCGGGGGGGGGGGGGGGGGTAGATCTAGCTGTCTGTGAACCAGTGGGAAAGGTGGCGGGGGGGGGGGGGGTAGATCTAGCTGTCTGTGAACCAGTGGGAAAGGTGGCGGGGGGGGGGGGGTAGATCTAGCTGTCTGTGAACCAGTGGGAAAGGTGGCGGGGGGGGGGGGGGGGGTAGATCTAGCTGTCTGTGAACCAGTGGGAAAGGTGGCGGGGGGGGGGGGGGTAGATCTAGCTGTCTGTGAACCAGTCTGAAAGGTGGAGGGGGGGGGGGTAGATCTAGCTGTCTGTGAACCAGTCTGAAAGGTGGCGGGGGGGGGGGGTAGATCTAGCTGTCTGTGAACCAGTGGGAAAGGTGGAGGGGGGGGGTAGATCTAGCTGTCTGTGAACCAGTCTGAAAGGTGGAGGGGGGGGGGGTAGATCTAGCTGTCTGTGAACCAGTGGGAAAGGTGGCGGGGGGGGGGGGGGTAGATCTAGCTGTCTGTGAACCAGTCTGAAAGGTGGAGGGGGGGGGGGTAGATCTAGCTGTCTGTGAACCAGTCTGAAAGGTGGAGGGGGGGGGGGGTAGATCTAGCTGTCTGTGAACCAGTCTGAAAGGTGGCGGGGGGGGGGGGTAGATCTAGCTGTCTGTGAACCAGTGGGAAAGGTGGAGGGGGGGGGGGGGTAGATCTAGCTGTCTGTGAACCAGTGGGAAAGGTGGCGGGGGGGGGGGGGGTAGATCTAGCTGTCTGTGAACCAGTCTGAAAGGTGGAGGGGGGGGGGGGTAGATCTAGCTGTCTGTGAACCAGTGGGAAAGGTGGCGGGGGGGGGGGGGGGGGTAGATCTAGCTGTCTGTGAACCAGTGGGAAAGGTGGCGGGGGGGGGGGGGTAGATCTAGCTGTCTGTGAACCAGTCTGAAAGGTGGAGGGGGGGGGGGGTAGATCTAGCTGTCTGTGAACCAGTGGGAAAGGTGGCGGGGGGGGGGGGGGGGGTAGATCTAGCTGTCTGTGAACCAGTGGGAAAGGTGGAGGGGGGGGGTAGATCTAGCTGTCTGTGAACCAGTGGGAAAGGTGGCGGGGGGGGGTAGATCTAGCTGTCTGTGAACCAGTCTGAAAGGTGGAGGGGGGGGGGGGGTAGATCTAGCTGTCTGTGAACCAGTCTGAAAGGTGGAGGGGGGGGGGGTAGATCTAGCTGTCTGTGAACCAGTCTGAAAGGTGGAGGGGGGGGGGGGGTAGATCTAGCTGTCTGTGAACCAGTGGGAAAGGTGGCGGGGGGGGGGGTAGATCTAGCTGTCTGTGAACCAGTGGGAAAGGTGGCGGGGGGGGGGGTAGATCTAGCTGTCTGTGAACCAGAAAGGTGGAGGGGGGGGGGGGTAGATCTAGCTGTCTGTGAACCAGTGGGAAAGGTGGCAGAACTAACCTAAAGTGTTGTGACAAAATCTTTAATGGATGACCAATGAGTTTCATATCTTTTCCACTTTGTCAAGTTATTGATGAAGGCCTTGTTGCTTTTGACAGAATGTGCATGTTTTACAGTTACAAATTTAGATACTCCAAAAATATATCTTGACATTTAGGTAATGGTAAATCCTTGTACTTAGTTGTAACTATAGTGGAGAGGGGTGTGCATGTTTTAAACAATTGTCATCTGAAATTCAGTCGTAACTAGCAGTTATGGTTACTTATGGAAACCACAAAAAGGTGTGAACATTCACTCCTATTAAAACTTCTATAACTTTGCTCACATAAAAATACAAAAAATCTGATTATAGATTTAAAAAAAATTCCATATTTTATCAAAGACTTCCAGATATAATGTGCTGTACAAATGAAAGACACTTGCTGTACCCTACTAATTAAATGAAAGACACTTGCTGTACCCTACTAATTAAACAAAAGACATCTGTACTGTACTAATGAAGTGGACTTTTCTATTTTGACCACAGGTGATATCATTGTTGGCCTTGAGCCAATTGATGAGGACTGGTGGAGAGGGAAGAACGGGCCTCTGAAAGGGATTTTCCCCTTAAGTTTTGTTGTGGAGCTAAGCAGTAACCCTTCAAGCAGTAACCCTTCAAGCAGTAACCCTTCAAGCAGTAACCCTTCAAGCAGTAACCCTTCAAGCAGTAACCCTTCAAGCAGTAACCCTTCAAGCAGTAACCCTTCAAGCAGTAACCCTTCAAGCAGTAACCCTTCAAGTGTCCCTGTGGCCCATCTGGCCAGAGCTCTCTATGATGTCATCCCCCAGCTGGATGGGGAGCTGGCCTTGAAGACAGGAGATGTCCTTGAGGTGACTCAGTCCATTGACTCTGACTGGTTCTATGGGCGCCTGGCAGGCAGGGAGGGGCTTGTTTCAGCAGTCTGTGTAGAGATTCTACCTGCAGCCACTTTTTCTTATACCAGTGAAAACACACGCTCACATGATACAGAGATCACACCTTATACCAGTGAAAACACACGCTCACATGATACAGAGATCACACCTTATACCAGTGAAAACACACGCTCACATGATACAGAGATCACACCTTATACCAGTGAAAACACACGCTCACATGATACAGAGATCACACCTTATACCAGTGAAAACACACGCTCACATGATACAGAGATCACACCTTATGGCAGAGTTATCTACCCATTTGGTGCCCGGCATGCAGGTGAATTGTCTTTAAGAGAGTTTGAGCTGGTCAACTTGATCCAGCATGTTGACCAGGACTGGATGCTGGGAGAAGTGGATGGACACCAGGGTTTGTTTCCTACGGCCTTTGTTGATATCATTGTGGACTGTCCAGACACACACAACTTACACACACAGCCCCACACACACAACTTACACACACAGCCCCACACACACAACTTACACACACAGCCCCACACACACAACTTACACCCACAGTCCCACACACACAACTTACACCCACAGTCCCACACACACAACTTACACCCACAGTCCCACACACACAACTTACACCCACAGTCCCACACACACAACTTACACCCACAGTCCCACACACACAACTTACACACACAGCCCCACGTGGGCTGGATGGCTGGCCATGACCTTGGTCTGGTCCTCCATGATTTCACTGCTCAACTAGAAGGAGATGTCAGTGTGTCAGAAGGGGAGACCATAGAGGTGCTCCAACAGCTGGACGCCAACTGGCTGGACATCAGGACTGAGACAGGAGACAGAGGGATCATTCCTAGAAACCACATCCAGTTGATCGGTGCTTGGCCACCTGATTCACCAGCCAACCTGTCACTACAACCAGCCAACCCGTCACTACAACCAGCCAACCCATCATTACAACCAGCCAACCCATCATTACAACCAGCCAACCCGTCACTACAACCAGCCAACCCATCAGTACAACCAGCCAACCCATCATTACAACCAGCCAACCCGTCACTACAACCAGCCAACCCATCAGTACAACCAGCCAACCCATCATTACAACCAGCCAACCCGTCACTACAACCAGCCATCCTGTTAGTAGAACAAAGTTATGAAAGCACTGGCTTGAAAAAGCCCCCATCTCTGGTCCAGCCCGGCCCAAAACCCAGCATCGCACCAAAACCAACCCTTTCTAAATCTTGGGTCAGGGGTCCGACCCAGAATACAGTCCATACACCAAAAGCGAACAAATCCCATGAGCCAAAAAATATTGATACTAATGGCTGTATAGGTTTGAGTAAGGTGCGCTCCATAGACAAAGCTTTTGTCAACAGTGCTTTCCAGATGGATGAAGGTCAGATGGTCAAACCTCATGTGGATGAAGGTCAGATGGTCAAACCTCATGTGGATGAAGGTCAGATGGTCAAACCTCATGTGGATGAAGGTCAGATGGTCAAACCTCATGTGGATGAAGGTCAGATGGTCAAACCTCATGTGGATGAAGGTCAGATGGTCAAACCTCATGTGGATGAAGGTCAGATGGTCAAACCTCATGTGGATGAAGGTCAGATGGTCAAACCTCATGTGGATGAAGGTCAGATGGTCAAACCTCATGTGGATGAAGGTCAGATGGTCAAACCTCATGTGGATGAAGGTCAGATGGTCAAACCTCATGTGGATGAAGGTCAGATGGTCAAACCTCATGTGGATGAAGGTCAGATGGTCAAACCTCATCCACCCCATCGTCCTCCACCCCGTCGTCCCCCACCCCATCGCCCCCCACCTCATGCACTTGAGTTGGTAGAGAAGTTTTCCACTGTACCAAGATTACCTTCAGGGAGAGACCCAAGACTAGCTTCATGTACTGAACCAAGGCCAGCCACAGGTAAACTTGTCCCTAAGAGACCTGCACCCAGAGCACCAGAGTCTCGTCCAAGACCTGTGTCTTTGCCAAGCCCATTAGAAGTAGGAGACCTGATTAGGTTGAGTCCCACAGGTAGGCTATCACAGTAGACATTAGTAAAGGACAGTATCTGTGCAATCTTTGTCTTTGTCATATATGACACAGTAATGGACAGTATCTGTGCAATCTTTGTCTATGTCATATATGACACAGTAAAGGACAGTATCTGTGCAATCTTTGTCTATGTCATATATGACACAGTAAAGGACAGTATCTGTGCAATCTTTGTTTATGTCTTATATGACACAGTAAAGGACAGTATCTGTGCAATCTTTGTCTATGTCATATATGACACAGTAATGGACAGTATCTGTGCAATCTTTGTCTATGTCATATATGACACAGTAATGGACAGTATCTGTGCAATCTTTGTCTATGTCATATATGACACAGTAAAGGACAGTATCTGTGCAATCTTTGTCTATGTCATATATGACACAGTAATGGACAGTATCTGTGCAATCTTTGTCTATGTCATATATGACACAGTAAAGGACAGTATCTGTGCAATCTTTGTCTATGTCATATATGACACAGTAATGGACAGTATCTGTGCAATCTTTGTCTATGTCATACATGACACATTAGTAATATGAACAGAACTGAACTTGTGCAATCTTTGTGGATGTCACTGAAACTTGAGGTCAGCCCAAAATGCTTGTAGTTCAGTTGACATCTTGAGGTCAGGCTAGTGTAAGCCCAAAATGCTTGTAGTTCAGTTGACATCTTGAGGTCAGGCTAGTGTAAGCCCAAAATGCTTGTAGTTCAGTTGACATCTTGAGGTCAGGCTAGTGTAAGCCCAAAATGCTTGTAGTTCAGTTGACATCTTGAGGTCAGGCTAGTGTAAGCCCAAAATGCTTGTAGTTCAGTTGACATCTTGAGGTCAGGCTAGTGTAAGCCCAAAATGCTTGTAGTTCAGTTGACATCTTGAGGTCAGGCTAGTGTAAGCCCAAAATGCTTGTAGTTCAGTTGACAATTTTACTGCAAGGTGTACCAGCCCTGTGTTATGGCCAAGCCCTTAACTCAACTAATCCTCTGTCCTGGCTCAGTTAATCCTATGACCCAATTAATCATCTGCTCTGACCCAGTTAATGCTCTTCCCTGGCCTAGTAAATCCTCTGTCCTGACCCAATTAACCCTATGACTTGACCTAGTTATAGCCTGTCACCTGACCTACTTTTTGGCTGCCAAAAACAATGATACTCTGATTCTGTTTTTAATATTGTTTCATTGTCATTTCAGAAATATATACTTACGAGCCGACCCGCAGCGAATCATACGCCGCTATTTAGTTGTTTTATTTTCTACTTTTCAGTAATTCATAATTTGTGAATTCGACAGTACCAATGCTGCCACTGAAAATATTTGCTTTAAAACACTAACACCCCCCCTTTCCCCTAACCCCGACCCTACACCCCACCCCCCACCCCCCCCCCCCCCCCCCGTGAAAGCAGCCTCCTCTTAGTTATTTCTTAGTTACCTCCTTAAGTTTAAAATTGAACTAAATTATCTGCCCCTATTAGAAACCCGGCTCTACGATTTGTAAACATTTAGCTTTGTAAACATTTAGCGTGACCACTGCTCACCAGACAATGTGGGGGTGGGGTGGGGGTGGTAGTGATAGTGATAGAGAGAAAGAGAGGGGACTGCAAGGAGGCGCTTGCAGCTTGTTTTCTAACGTCTCCCAGAAGAGAATTATATATATAGATAATCGTTATTTTTGCATATTATTTAACGATACCGATCTATTTTTAACAATGGATGATTAGTGTTTGATGCAAACTTGCTATTTGTACATTTTTTCTAAGCGCTTAGAAAAACAAACAGAGCATATTAAAAATAAGCAAAACATGAATTGTTTTATTTTATATTGTTGTAAACTTATTCAAAAATACTGTAAACTATAGAAAATTATATATTGCTTCTGACTAAAATAATTTCATTAATTTTTTAAAAAGCATGTAGGATAAAAACAAAACATTAAAAAAAAAGTAACTTGATCTAGACAACAGCTAACTGAGCCCGCCAATTTTGCCCGCCATGTATTTGTATGGGAAGAAATCTAGCAGACAACACATGTCTGCTGAATGTTAGTGAACTGTCAATCTCGTCACACTAACACTCCTAAAAAATGAACCCACTGTATCAGTCATATCAATGTAGCATTTTAAAAACAAATGCATTTTTTCTCAAATCATTTTCTAGGCTACCGATTAAATTTGATAAAATTGGTATCAAATTAAAGGTAAATAAATGTAGTTTTTAAATGTTTAAATCATCTTGAACAATAATGAAGTTTAAAAAAATTGGGAGGGGCACCCTACTAGTAAATCATCAGTTCTGACCCAGTTAACCCTCTGACCTGACCCAGTTAACCCACTGACCTGACCCAGTTAACCCACTGACCTGACCCAGTTAACCCTCTGACCTGACCCAGTTAACCCACTGACCTGACCCAGTTAACCATCTGACCCAGTTAACCCACTGACCTGACCCAGTTAACCCTCTGACCTGACCCAGTTAACCCTCTGACCCAGTTAACCCACTGACCTGACCCAGTTAACCCTCTGACCTGAGCCAGTTAACCCTCTGACCCAGTTAACCCTCTGACCCAGTTAACCCACTGACCTGACCCAGTTAACCCTCTGACCTGACCCAGTTAACCCTCTGACCTGACCCAGTTAACCCTCTGACCCAGTTAACCCTCTGACCCAGTTAACCCACTGACCTGACCCAGTTAACCCTCTGACCTGACCCAGTTAACCCTCTGACCTGACCCAGTTAACCCTCTGACCCAGTTAACCCTCTGACCCAGTTAACCCACTGACCTGACCCAGTTAACCCTCTGACCCAGTTAACCCTCTGACCCAGTTAACCCACTGACCTGACCCAGTTAACCCTCTGACCCGACCCAGTTAACCCTCTGACCTGACCCAGTTAACCCTCTGACCTGACCCAGTTAACCCACTGACCTGACCCAGTTAACCATCTGACCCAGTTAACCCACTGACCTGACCCAGTTAACCCTCTGACCTGACCCAGTTAACCCTCTGACCTGACCCAGTTAACCCTCTGACCAAATTAAGTTAACCCTCTGACCCAGTTAACCCTCTGACCTGACCCAGTTAACCCACTGACCTGACCCAATCAAGCCCCTCCACCAGAATGGATGCCACTTGTGGTAAAAGTGATCCAAATATTTCAGATGTAAAAAGTCCAAGAGAAGAAGACCAGCAGAGAGCAACTAACAAGGTAACATCAGCATTCTGTTGGGCAACTCTGATACTGATAACAGCTAGTTATTTGATTGGCCTAAACTGTTAGACATAGGGCTATTATTTTAAAAAAAACTTTAGCCTCAAATGTGTAGACATAGGTCTATCATAAAACTTGAGCCATGAAATGTGTATAGATATTGTTGTAGCTGTGTACCATGGAGAAATTGATCAATAGATCTGAAGATTGTTTAAGTCTTTGAGTGTCAAGACATTACTGCACTATTATGGTTAGGTTTACTTTACATTTGTTGCATCATCCATGTTTTGAGTTGTGTTCTAGATACATGCTATAGACCTGGTCAGCTGGTTTAAATGTGTACTATAGACCTGGTCAGCTGGTTTAAATGTGTACTATAGACCTGGTCAGCTGGTTTAAATGTGTGCTATAGACCTGGTCAGCTGCCATGTTTAAATGTGTGCTATAGACCTGGTCAGCTTGTTTAAATGTGTGCTATAGACCTGGTCAGCTGGTTTAAATGTGTGCTATAGACCTGGTCAGCTGGTTTAAATGTGTACTATAGACCTGGTCAGCTGGTTTAAATGTGTACTATAGACCTGGTCAGCTGGTTTAAATGTGTGCTATAGACCTGGTCAGCTTGTTTAAATGTGTACTATAGACCTGGTCAGCTGCCATGTTTAAATGTGTGCTATAGACCTGGTCAGCTTGTTTAAATGTGTGCTATAGACCTGGTCAGCTGCCATGTTTAAATGTGTGCTATAGACCTGGTCAGCTGCCATGTTTAAATGTGTACTATAGACCTGGTCAGCTTGTTTAAATGTGTGCTATAGACCTGGTCAGCTTGTTTAAATGTGTGCTATAGACCTGGTCAGCTTGTTTAAATGTGTGCGATAGACCTGGTCAGCTGGTTTAAATGTGTGCTATAGACCTGGTCAGCTGGTTTAAATGTGTACTATAGACCTGGTCAGCTGGTTTAAATGTGTGCTATAGACCTGGTCAGCTGGTTTAAATGTGTACTATAGACCTGGTCAGCTGGTTTAAATGTGTGCTATAGACCTGGTCAGCTGGTTTAAATGTGTACTATAGACCTGGTCAGCTGGTTTAAATGTGTACTATAGACCTGGTCAGCTGGTTTAAATGTGTGCTATAGACCTGGTCAGCTTGTTTAAATAAGTACTATAGACCTGGTCAGCTTGTTTAAATGTGTACTATAGACCTGGTCAGCTGGTTTAAATGTGTACTATAGACCTGGTCAGCTTGTTTAAATGTGTGCTATAGACCTGGTCAGCTGGTTTAAATGTGTACTATAGACCTGGTCAGCTGGTTTAAATGTGTACTATAGACCTGGTCAGCTGCCATGTTTAAATGTGTACTATAGACCTGGTCAGCTGGTTTAAATGTGTGCTATAGACCTGGTCAGCTGGTTTAAATGTGTACTATAGACCTGGTCAGCTGGTTTAAATGTGTGCTATAGACCTGGTCAGCTGGTTTAAATGTGTACTATAGACCTGGTCAGCTGGTTTAAATGTGTACTATAGACCTGGTCAGCTGGTTTAAATGTGTGCTATAGACCTGGTCAGCTTGTTTAAATGTGTGCTATAGACCTGGTCAGCTGGTTTAAATGTGTACTATAGACCTGGTCAGCTGGTTTAAATGTGTACTATAGACCTGGTCAGCTGGTTTAAATGTGTACTATAGACCTGGTCAGCTTGTTTAAATGTGTGCTATAGACCTGGTCAGCTGGTTTAAATGTGTGCTATAGACCTGGTCAGCTGCCATGTTTAAATGTGTACTATAGACCTGGTCAGCTGGTTTAAATGTGTGCTATAGACCTGGTCAGCTGGTTTAAATGTGTACTATAGACCTGGTCAGCTTGTTTAAATGTGTACTATAGACCTGGTCAGCTTGTTTAAATGTGTGCTATAGACCTGGTCAGCTGCCATGTTTAAATGTGTGCTATAGACCTGGTCAGCTTGTTTAAATGTGTGCTATAGACCTGGTCAGCTGCCATGTTTAAATGTGTGCTATAGACCTGATCAGCTTGTTTAAATGTGTGCTATAGACCTGGTCAGCTGGTTTAAATGTGTGCTATAGACCTGGTCAGCTTGTTTAAATGTGTGCTATAGACCTGGTCAGCATGTTTAAATGTGTGCTATAGACCTGGTCAGCTGCCATGTTTAAATGTGTGCTATAGACCTGGTCAGCTGCCATGTTTAAATGTGTGCAATAGACCTGGTCAGCTGCCATGTTTAAATGTGTGCTATAGACCTGGTCAGCTTGTTTAAATGTGTGCTATAGACCTGGTCAGCTGCCATGTTTAAATGTGTGCTATAGACCTGGTCAGCTGGTTTAAATGTGTACTATAGACCTGGTCAGCTGCCATGTTTAAATGTGTGCTATAGACCTGGTCAGCTGCCATGTTTAAATGTGTGCTATAGACCTGGTCAGCTGCCATGTTTAAATGTGTGCTATAGACCTGGTCAGCTGCCATGTTTAAATGTGTGCTATAGACCTGGTCAGCTGCCATGTTTAAATGTGTGCGATAGACCTGGTCAGCATGTTTAAATGTGTGCTATAGACCTGGTCAGCTGGTTTAAATGTGTGCTATAGACCTGGTCAGCTGGTTTAAATGTGTGCTATAGACCTGGTCAGCTGGTTTAAATGTGTGCTATAGACCTGGTCAGCTTGTTTGAATGTGTGCTATAGACCTGGTCAGCTTGTTTAAATGTGTGCTATAGACCTGGTCAGCTGCCATGTTTAAATGTGTGCTATAGACCTGGTCAGCTGGTTTAAATGTGTACTATAGACCTGGTCAGCTGGTTTAAATGTGTACTATAGACCTGGTCAGCTGGTTTAAATGTGTGCTATAGACCTGGTCAGCTGGTTTAAATGTGTGCTATAGACCTGGTCAGCTGGTTTAAATGTGTGCTATAGACCTGGTCAGCTGGTTTAAATGTGTGCTATAGACCTGGTCAGCTGGTTTAAATGTGTACTATAGACCTGGTCAGCTGGTTTAAATGTGTGCTATAGACCTGGTCAGCTGGTTTAAATGTGTGCTATAGACCTGGTCAGCTGGTTTAAATGTGTACTATAGACCTGGTCAGCTGGTTTAAATGTGTGCTATAGACCTGGTCAGCTGGTTTAAATGTGTGCTATAGACCTGGTCAGCTGGTTTAAATGTGTGCTATAGACCTGGTCAGCTGGTTTAAATGTGTACTATAGACCTGGTCAGCTGGTTTAAATGTGTACTATAGACCTGGTCAGCTGCCATGTTTAAATGTGTGCTATAGACCTGGTCAGCTGGTTTAAATGTGTACTATAGACCTGGTCAGCTGGTTTAAATGTGTACTATAGACCTGGTCAGCTGGTTTAAATGTGTGCTATAGACCTGGTCAGCTGCAATGTTTAAATGTGTACTATAGACCTGGTCAGCTGGTTTAAATGTATGCTATAGACCTGGTCAGCTGCAATGTTTAAATGTGTACTATAGACCTGGTCAGCTGCCATGTTTAAATGTGTGCTATAGACCTGGTCAGCTGGTTTAAATGTGTACTATAGACCTGGTCAGCTGGTTTAAATGTGTACTATAGACCTGGTCAGCTGGTTTAAATGTGTGCTATAGACCTGGTCAGCTTGTTTAAATAAGTACTATAGACCTGGTCAGCTTGTTTAAATGTGTACTATAGACCTGGTCAGCTGGTTTAAATGTGTACTATAGACCTTGTCAGCTTGTTTAAATGTGTGCTATAGACCTGGTCAGCTTGTTTAAATGTGTACTATAGACCTGGTCAGCTGGTTTAAATGTGTACTATAGACCTGGTCAGCTGGTTTAAATGTGTACTATAGACCTGGTCAGCTGGTTTAAATGTGTGCTATAGACCTGGTCAGCTGGTTTAAATGTGTACTATAGACCTGGTCAGCTGGTTTAAATGTGTGCTATAGACCTGGTCAGCTGGTTTAAATGTGTGCTATAGACCTGGTCAGCTGGTTTAAATGTGTACTATAGACCTGGTCAGCTGGTTTAAATGTGTACTATAGACCTGGTCAGCTGGTTTAAATGTGTGCTATAGACCTGGTCAGCTTGTTTAAATGTGTGCTATAGACCTGGTCAGCTGGTTTAAATGTGTACTATAGACCTGGTCAGCTGGTTTAAATGTGTACTATAGACCTGGTCAGCTGGTTTAAATGTGTACTATAGACCTGGTCAGCTTGTTTAAATGTGTGCTATAGACCTGGTCAGCTGGTTTAAATGTGTGCTATAGACCTGGTCAGCTGCCATGTTTAAATGTGTACTATAGACCTGGTCAGCTGGTTTAAATGTGTGCTATAGACCTGGTCAGCTGGTTTAAATGTGTACTATAGACCTGGTCAGCTGGTTTAAATGTGTGCTATAGACCTGGTCAGCTGGTTTAAATGTGTGCTATAGACCTGGTCAGCTGGTTTAAATGTGTACTATAGACCTGGTCAGCTGGTTTAAATGTGTGCTATAGACCTGGTCAGCTGGTTTAAATGTGTGCTATAGACCTGGTCAGCTGGTTTAAATGTGTACTATAGACCTGGTCAGCTGGTTTAAATGTGTACTATAGACCTGGTCAGCTGGTTTAAATGTGTGCTATAGACCTGGTCAGCTGGTTTAAATGTCTACTATAGACCTGGTCAGCTGGTTTAAATGTGTACTATAGACCTGGTCAGCTGGTTTAAATGTGTACTATAGACCTGGTCAGCTGGTTTAAATGTGTGCTATAGACCTGGTCAGCTGGTTTAAATGTCTACTATAGACCTGGTCAGCTGGTTTAAATGTGTGCTATAGACCTGGTCAGCTGGTTTAAATGTGTTTAAATGTGTGCTATAGACCTGGTCAGCTGGTTTAAATGTGTACTATAGACCTGGTCAGCTGGTTTAAATGTGTGCTATAGACCTGGTCAGCTGGTTTAAATGTGTGCTATAGACCTGGTCAGCTGGTTTAAATGTGTACTATAGACCTGGTCAGCTGGTTTAAATGTGTGCTATAGACC